CATGACTCCTGTGCACCTTCAGCTCCCTCTCTTTGAACAGGGCTGCCTGTGATAATTATCCTGTAACTCTCCTCCTGTTGTATTTTGGGGTGGTTGTCATGGGGTGCAGGGAAATTGTTTCTTGAATTCACAAGTCTTTGGATTGAGAAAATGCACCAGAATAATTGTGCCTGAGGAATGACCAGTAGGCAGAATCATCCATAGGTGAGTTGGAGTCACATTCTAGTCTGGATCCCAGCTAGCGTGAAGAAATGAAATTCTGTGGAGGTTTTTGTTGTTACACAGGATGGGGAAAATGTCCACTTAATATTTCACATCCAAGCCATAACACAGAGACAAGATTTACAGCGCTGTGATTGGGTGAGCGGTGCCAGGAACATTTAGAGAATAATACAAGAATCAGGAGGTAAGGGGCACCCCAGACTGTACTCATCATGGTTTTGCTAGGTTTGTCAGGAGGGAGAGGAGAAAGGAAGGGAAGGTAGGAGGGAAGCTGGGTTCGGTGTCCAGGCATGTACTTGGCACACATGAAGCCTTGGGTCCAATGCCCAACGATGCAAAATAACAAACCCTAAACAGCAATAGCAAAGCCCCAAGCCCTTTGGACATTTTTTGGATTAATTCTGTTTACCCCTCCTTCTGTTTGTTGACTCAGCATTGTGAAGACCCTCCTGCACAGCACCCTGGACACCTTGTAGAACACTCACAGTAATTCCTAGGCCTCCATCACATTTCACCGAGTAGTTTTCTCCTCCCTGTGTAGCCAGGTGACTTGCAGGCCTTGAATGCTGATGGGGGCTGTGTGGTGGGGTGCATGCGCTATTCATTTCCTGCAAGGCTTCTGACTGCACCCGGTAACTTTCCCAGAAGCCCCATCACATCTTGCTAATGTTTGCTTCTGGGATAGGTGCAGACACCTTCCTTGAATTTGCCTTTCTGATTGGCAGTGGCTTCGAGCATCTCCGTATTTGTTCTTAAAGCCTGTGGGTGCCTGTTGTCTGCTCAGTCCAGATGTCAAGAAAAGCATGTCCCTCATGTTTTCTTGTCAATATGTAAGAGTCTATTGGGTATCTGGCTATTAATCCTTTGTCTTGTAGACAACACAACTATCTGCCCTTGCCTGGAGCCATCTAAAACATTGTCTAGCATCCATTAAATGTGATCATAGCATCTCCTACATTAGACACTGCCACTGTGACAGTATCTTGGATTTCATTCCCTTAGCTTTGCACTTTTACCATTTTCATTTAGGGTTTTCTTTCCACCTGAAACTCACTGTTTAATGCAGCACAACTAACTCCCCCACCCCCACTCCTCACTTCCCCCCCCACCCCCGCTTCTCTTTAGAGGGAGCTAGCTAGTTTTCCCAATACAGATTGTCCGTTTCTAAAGGTTTCGTCATTACCAAGCAGCTCAGCCTGGAGTCCATCCAGATTCCAAGATGAGTCAGAGGTTTGCAAACAGTTGCAGTTAGAAAATGTCTCTATGAAACCTGAGGCTGGGAGGCTCCAACGTGACTGATCCGCAGACAGGGGTTGCCTGCCGTGAGTGTCATGTGAAGACACAGGCACAGGGTTTGACAGAAGTGAGCAGGTGCTGGTGGTACAACCCCAGAGAGCCAGGGCTTGGAGAGGGAGGAATTAGAAACCAGTAACACAGCTATGCTTCAGCATCTCAATGAAATATTCCCTGAAGGCTCCTCTTATAACACACACCCAATTCACACACCCACTTCTAAAACGCAGGTCTTGAAATGTGAATGTGGTTTAACCACCATCAGGATTTGGTGTAGCTAGATGTTCAGAGCTGGGATCCTGGGGTCAGGATGCTGGGTTCAAATCCTAGCCTGGTCAGCTATCCCCTAGATGACCTTGAGCAGATCTGGACTCTGCAGGCATCCATGAGATAATCCCGATGAAGCACCAGCCAGGGGCCAGTGTCAATTACATCAATTAGGCACTCAATAAAAAGCAACAATAAAAGGGCATATTATATGATAGACTTGGCATTCTATGGAACACAAAGAATGAAGTGTTCTGACCCCTCAAGGGATTTGTGAGCTAAAGGAGGAGGGGACACATTCCAAAAGTAAGTATACAGTAAGAGAAAACCTCAGACATTGTGCTTTAAAAAAAAAAAAAAGTTCATATGTTCAGAATTCAAATAAAAGAAAGGCATATATCAGTGTGAGGAAGGGGGAGGTGCTGAAGTGGAATTCTGAGCCAAGGAAAGCAATGCCAAGTTTGGGGGGTGGTTGTTGAGCAGGGTTGAGAATCGATGCAGAGTGCATCAGGGATGGAGGTACACAGATGAGCTCCCAGGGTGCCCTGTACTGAGACTGAAAATGTAGAGGTCAGTGGGAGGGTACTGTTTACTCTCTCCTACACTTAAGAACCTAGCTCCAGGTGGTGAGAACTGGTAAGTAGGGAGAAGTCCCCCCCCCCCCCACCAAGCAATTCTCCAACTCATGGACATCAAATTGATGTCTTCCAATTTAACACAGTTCTTACACTCTGTGCCTGAAGTCAGTCTTGATTCCATAAGTTAAAGGGCTCAGTTTAACACTCCCCATTTCAGAGGTTAATCCCAGAGCCATGCATTTCCTGATTCTGATTGGCTGGTTATGAATTGGAGGATCCTGTGACTTTTTCCCCTTAGGTTTCATGAACTTGGTTTTTCACAGAACTCAGGGCAACCCTGGGCTTATGCTCACTGGTATATAATGGAAAGTACATGCTATGGTTTGGATATATTATGACTCCCATGTTCACCACTGAATAATTAGTCAAAGACATGAAATGTATTTGGCAAAGATCACATCAGGTTCTATGTAAGTTGTGCTTGAAATGCATGTAAGAGCTATGTAAGTTGAGGAAGCCACCCTGGCTGGAGAGGATCAGAGAGGGCGAGCTCTCAGAGGTCATGTGGACAGGGTTTTGCTGTGAAATGTAGAGCCATTGAAGAGTCTTCAGTGGAGGCGGGCCATGATTGCAGTGGGATCCCACAGGTAGCCTGTAGGAACTTGTGATTTAGTTTAGCATGTAGTAATGTCTTCATCTAGGTGAGTTGGCAACTCTTCTAATTATGCTTTCACGTATTATCAGTGTATCTCTTCTTATGCTACCCATCTTTCATCTGGCTACCTACCTTTTTTTTTTTTTTTTTTTGGAACTTAAATTCCTTTAAACTATTTTAAATCTTTTTTACACACTTTGATCATATCCTTTTCCCTCTCTCAACTCGTTCCAGATCCTCTTCTCTTCTTACCTACCCAACCTCATGTCCTCCCACATCCCTCTTTCTCAAAAAAGCAAAAAGCCAAACAACAAAAAATGAAAATCAAAACACAAACTTAAAAAAATAAAAAAAATAAAAGACAATAAATATCAAAACACAACAAAAAGTGCACCAACCTAAACAAACATAGAATCTGCTGTGTGTTGACCAACTACTCCTGGAGTGTGGCTTACACACCCAGTGATGCTCCATTGTAGAAAACTGGTTTTCCCTTTCCAGCAGGCATCGATTGCAATAGCTTCTTGACTGGGGTGGGATTTTGTGCTCACTCCCTCCTCTCAGTGCCAGGATTTTGTCTGGTTTGAACTTGTGCGGGTGTTGTTCAAGCTGTCACAGTCTCTGAGTGCATAAGTGCCTCAAGTCCTGTGGTGTCTGCCAGACACTATTTCCTTAGAATCTTCTACCACCCCTGGCTCTTAGAATGTTTCTGCCTCTTCTTCCAGGTAGCTCCTTGAGCCCTGAGGGGAGGGGGTTAATAAAGCCATCCCTTTTAGGACTGAGTGCTCCCGAGTCTCTCACTCTCTAGACGTGGTCCAGCTCTGGGCTCTGTATTAATTGCCATCTACTGCAAGAAGCTTCTCTGACAGGGCTGAGTGATGCTCTCAGCTGTTGGCATAGCAGTATTTCATTTTAATATTCAATAATTTAAGTATAAAACAGGAGTCGTTTTATTGCTGCATTCTCTACCTATCTACCTTCTTTCTGTTTTAGGAGTTGAAGCTTGCATCAAGATAGGAGCACCCTACCAGGAAGTGCCTGTTCAGAGCTGCTGTGTGATCCCAGGAAGGAGAGATGGATCCTCCCAGAGGGAGCCATGTTAGCAATAGCTCCAAGGCGCATACTCTCCAGCTGTGGCCTTGGCAGAGGGTTGTGGGAGGAAAGCCTCCAGAAACAAAAAGCCCTGGAGCATTAACCTGAAGTAGGTGTGCACATCGACAGAACAGTGTGGTTAAACTCTTCCTTCATAGGACTTCTATTGTGTGAGGATCAATTTAAGTTCATATACAATATATGATGCTCGATTAAGGGTCGCTGCTTTATCAATATTTACTTGTAGGGACACCACCCATGTTCAATATCCAGTTCAGGTGGCTGTGCGCGAGGCAAAAAGAGATACAAGGATCAGGCCATGTTGACGCTCGTCTATAATCCCGCACTTGAGGAGTTTGAGGCCAGCCTTAGATATATAGAGTTCTAGGCTAGCCTGGATCCTTCTTTTTTTAAAAGAGGGAGTAAGAGGTTCGAAGAGGAAAGGGATTGGTTGAGATGGGCCTTTAAATAGATTATCACATATGAGATTTGGGACAGCTAGGCGCAGCTGGGGTCAGGAGTGGAACTTCCCCTAGGCTTCCCTGCATTCCCCTCCTCCCCTGCCCCCCTCCTCAATCTCCTTTCTCCTTCCCCCCTCCCCTCCCCCTGTCCACCCCTGAGTCAGCAAGAGTACTGGTCTCTAAGACCCCTATTGCCTCTGAGCTCCTGGATCCCTCGCCCTGGCTCGGTGCTGTGCGTAGGCTGGCTCTTCTTGCGGGATCCAATAGAGAGGGACCCCGGCGGGAGGAGCGGGGCGGGGCGGGGCGGGGCGGGGCCTGGGAAGTTCGCGGCCACTGAGGGCTGGGCTGGGCTGGCCTGGCCACTGTGGAACCTTAAAAGGCTGAGGCGGGAGGGGTGGGTGTGGCTGAGCAGATCTCTGGCCCCGAGCCCCGTAGTCTCCCGCAGCCTCTCAGCCATGGGCGCCGTCTGGTCCGCCCTGCTGGTCGGCGGGGCTCTGGCGGCAGCGCTTACCCTGTGGCTGCTGCGGGGCGACCCTGGGGTCCCGGGGAAAGACGGGAGTGAGGCGCCGCAGAAGGACGCACCTCCAGGGGAGGCTGCGGCTCCGGGTGGCGGTGGCAGTGGCTGCCTGAGCCCTGAACCTTCCGAGCGGGTGCTGGTCTCCAAACCAGGTATTCTTCCTCCCCGGGGCTCGGGGCTGACGTGCCCGGGGTTTCAGAGTTCACTGGGATCGTGGTGGACCAACTTTCCCCACCTGGGACGAAACTCTCCTTGAGCCCCGTTGCTTCCTGGGGCTGTATTGTCCTGGAGAAGCCAGGCGGGTCCTCCAGAGGCCGCGCCCTGCTCCTGCCACTCCAGCCGGCACCCGCTCCTCCGCCCAGCCGGGCTTGGCGCAGTGCGCGAGGCTGGTTTGGGGGGTATCTCACAACTCTCTACAGTCTCGGATGAAGCTGGGAGGGGCTTCCTTTGAGTCTTAGTCCCCCTAGCTTCAAGCCTTGACACTCTATACCCCTTCTTAGATCTGTGTTTGGGGCTGGCGAGCGTTGAGCACTCGCTTGCTACTGTCTGGACAGTTCTTTCAGGAAAGAAAAATTCAGCTTAGACGTGAGTCAGGAAAGCCACTGCAGCTGGGACTGTGCGCTGGCACCAAACTCTGACGAGAATTGTCATATAAGTTTAGATCTACATTCTAGAGGTCCCGCACCAGGCAACCAATGCACACTGGCACGAAGCCTTACCTTCCTGTGCCCTTCTTTGGCAGGTTGTAGTTGCCTGGCAGCACTTAATTTTTAGTAGTGGTCATTTGTGGCTTTGTGAGAATCTTTCCCACGGCTGATTTTTTATATAAAACATGAAGGCCAGCCTCATGTTTTAATTGAGATTTGTTGACATCTGACTCCGGAGCTCACTATTAAAAAGAGACAAAATGAAGTAAGAGTCCCCAGCCTCTGCGCTGAATGTAGGAGTTCAGGCTTAGAGAGCTATTTAGGTAGCTAGGAAAGAAACCAAGTCTTTGGGCGACTTAGATTGTGAACTTTTCAGAACAATTTTTAAAGTCTGTAGTGTGTGTGTGTGTGTGTGGGGGGACCCTGTGTGTCTTTGAAGAGATTTCTCCCCCCCCAGGTTCCCCCATTCCAATTATATTCAATCATGCTTTGTATTCCTCACACTGACCACTCTGCCTTACAGAATTGACCCCTGCACTCACTTCCAGGGAGTACAAGAGCCGAGTAGCATGCAGTCCTTTGTCCCACAGAAGCTATGGTGTGTGTGGCTGGGCCTGCTAAGCTCCTGTCCCAACCCCTGGTCAGCATTTTTTTTTTTTTTTTAATGACAGGAGCCAAGTGACTTAACTTTGAATCCCTGCCAATTTGGTCTGGCCTGTGGGAGATTTTGTAACTTGACACTTCATTGTATCTCTTGCTATGCACTGAGTGTGTTTTGATTGTTGGATCTGCACATATGCTCATAGAGCAGTGTTGGGAACGTGCAATCAGGCACTTGGTTTCTACAGGAGCTTGACCTACTGATAGAAACAGATGATAGCAACTTTTTTTTTTTTCAATTTCCCATTGTGAAACTAGCTAATGTTGCTACACTTTCCTTTCTCAGAGCAGCTTCAAGAAAGCAATGGACATTTGATTTCTGAGACCAAAGATCTTGGTAACCTGCAGGGAGCACAGAGACTCCAGAATGCTGGAGCGGATTGGGGCAATGCTGGAGACTATGTTGTTCCTTCTGGAAAGACTCCAGATACGCACTCCAGGACCAACCCAGAAGTGTCAAGGAATCAAAGCCAGGAAGTTCATGTAGGAGAATGGAGCCCCAGCAAAGGACAAGAAACAGCTGGGAGCATGTCCTCCAGCAGCCTGCTCAGGGACAGAGCTAAAGCAGCCAGCCCTGCACAGTTGGCCAGTCAGGACCCGGCAGGCCACGAGGACTGGGAAGTGGTGTCTAGGCACTCATCTTGGGGGGATGTTGGTTTGAGTGGCAGTCTTGAGGGTCTAAGTCAGGGGATGGGTGATGGCAGAAACAGTCTTGTGGGAGGAAGAAGCTGGGAAGCAGATGGGAAGGCGGTGTCCCTGGAACCTCAGCAGGTCAGCATCCAGTTCCAGGTGCACTACACCACAAGCACCGATGTGCAGTTCATTGCAGTTACTGGAGACCATGAGAATCTCGGGGGATGGGCCAGATACATCCCACTCCACTACTGTAAGGATGGGCTGTGGTCTCATTCTGTCTTCCTGCCTGCAGACACGGTGGTGGAATGGAAGTTTGTGCTGGTAGAGAATAGGGAAGTTACTCGCTGGGAAGAGTGCAGCAATAGACTCCTGCAGACTGGCCACAAGGATAAAGTGGTTCATGGGTGGTGGGGGATTCATTGACTCACGGTGCAAAGCATCCAAGCGAGAGGCTACAGCAGAGTGTGGGAGAGGCTAAGGCTGTAGAGCACACCGCATAATTTAAAGGCAGTGTACCCATCAGAGTTCTTTCAGAGTTGCTAGTGTGGCTTCTGTCCAAAATGTAGAAAGATGTATGCTTGCCGATGATGCTTCCTGTGAGCTGGGATTTTCCCCTTGTTGCACTGACTGGTTTGTGCTGACACATCATTTACTTGAGGGGTTGATCACCCCTGGATACTTGGTTCAGCTAAGACTGAGGTATGGACTATGGGCAAGGGGAAATTAACCAACTGCACAAGTGCAAGGTAGAGCCTGTAGCTCTTAGAATAGGGAGATGGCAGTAAGCCTCATTAAACACAGCTAAAGTAACACTGTTTACATTTAAAAATGATACCATATGGAACTGTGACACTCAGACTCCCCATTAGCTTTTGTTCCATTATAAGTGCTGAGGGTAGGTGTGGAGTTAGCAGGCTTGTCTTAATGCCCTAATCAGAGTTGGTCATCCCAGGAAGTGGAGCAGGTGGGGTGGGTGAGAGATGGTGAGGTGGCTTGAAAGGTATCCGGTTCTCCCTCATCTGGCTCCAGCAAGGGTGTATGCATCCTTTACCCACAGTGTCCTGCCAGACTGTCTCTATTCACTTCCCTACCCAATTCCTACCAGGTCTCAAAAGATGGGCTGCCCTGGGGAAGATTTTTCCATCTGTCACCTCTTACTTTTATACCAGTGAGTGAAAATCTATATAGGGCCATGATACAGAATATCTTTGCTCTGAGGAGGAATAATTATTAAGTTCTAAGTTATAACTGAATAATAAATCCTGAGTTGTAATATCTTTATTAAATGTCTGAATTATTTGTTTCAATTTTAGCACCATAACCTAGATATAAAATAATGGTCTAATATTTTACATATAGAGAAAAGCAAACATCAAATGTAGCAGATGACATATGGAGTCTATTTTCCATTTTGGAGAGCTTTAAATATTTTCTAAAACTTTGCTTAGAAGGGAGTTCAGCATGCTGGTATTTAAGGATGAAGCGGTATGAGGCATGGTTTCTGATAACCCAGGCTCACCCTAAAACTCACTGTGTAACCAAGGATGCCCTTGAAACTGACCCTCCTGCATCTACTTTCTCAAGGGCTGGGATTACAGGCATGTGCCACCACACTCCGTTTTATGGAGCACCAGGCAAAGACTCTACCTCTGAGCTACAGCCCAGCTCTTGGTTGTTTAGAGAGGGGACAGCCTGAACTGGCCTGGAACTTGATCTATAGCTAAGGATGACCTGCAAAAGGATGACCTGCAAACACTGATTGTCCCATGTCCACCTGCAGATTTATGTGCTAAAACAGTACAATATCTATTGGCAAAATAGTACTTAATTCTGGCTGACATGGCCTTTGCTGACAAAACCATAGACTCAACTGAAGGTGGCATCAGATGGTGCTTGGAAGGGTGCTTGCAAGCTTTGGGCTCAGAGCCTTTTGGGATGAAATTCATCACTCTGCTTATGTCTCCCATAATGAGGTCTGCAGAAGGCACTGGCCATTACTTCACAATGCTCAATACTCCTGTGAAGTAAAGCAATTAAAAAAAGTCTCTAGAATTCTATTTATAGTTACTGATGAAATAAAAGTTAATCTTTGATTAAAGCCAACTGATGTAAGAAACAGATTGTGCTATTATATGTACACATTATTTATAATTAAATGTATGTCTACTTTGATCATCATCTGTGCTTAGAGTGGTAACTGTCACTGGGAGGGACACGAGGTTCCCTTGAGAGAGCATGTCCAGATGGGTCAGGGCTCCTGCTGGCATCCGTTTAAGAAGGTAGAACACCACACAGATTTCTTGCCACTGTATCAGTCATCAGTAGGTCATCTAGGAGGCAGCTCCCTTCCTTGTAGAGCTCCCTGACCCCCTCTACCTTGTGGTATGGCCATCCTAAGGGCCCTCCCCACACTCTGCATCCAGCCTGTGGGAGGGGAGTAACTTGAGGAAAACCAGGACTGCAGTATTAACACTTTGACCTGAAGGAGCACACAGGTCTCTGTTGGTGTTCCATTCCACCTGTGAGAACTGGTCAGGTGACCACCCCCACAGGTGAGGGGCGGGGCCACAACATGGCCTCCAGCTAGGCAGCTGTGTACCAGGGACAGTTCACCCCTGACACATTGTCTCTAATGTTATGGCACAAGAGAAACACATGTCTTCCTTGTCTCATTATATTTGGTTTGCATACAAATACCCCCAATTTATTAACATTAACATTTAGTTAAAGTAGACTGACTATATTAGTTCAATCTAGAGCTTACCTATTCATTTGTTAAAGAGTAACGAAGTATTGTCTTTCTTTAGTTTTATGCAAGAGGAGAGATTTCTAGGAGTTTTGACTGGGGCCACCAAAGTTTTGCTGATTACTGATATTGACAGAACAATGAGATCAAGGTCATCAAAGAAGGCTACTGTTTGTCCAGCATGCTGGAATTTGTCCTTCTGTTCTTGGCACTGTATCCCTTAGACTGTATGAATATTCTTTTTTCTTCCTCAGAATTTGTTTAAGCTGGAAAAAATAGTTCTATTATCTCAGAACCAGTAAAATAATTTAAAACAATTACACTAACATGCTAGAATTAGCATAAATGAATATATTATAATATATAGATCCTCTCAAATCTAGCTGGCAGTGTTCCATGTTTTGCTGAGAGAGCATTTAAGAAGCTTATTTCAAAACAGTTTACAGGACAAGGCATCTTTTATTAAATTTTCACATAAAAAGAAAAAGTCCACAGGGCACTAATTATAAGTAACATCACAATTAATCAGGCGTGAGCCCTCTATAGAGAGCAGGCAAACGATGTGTCATTTTAGTAACATTTTTTCTTGGTCTTTCACTTTCTGAATCCTTTTCTCTTGATTTCTGATCATTGAAGACATTGCTGAAAATGTCAATAAAGCAAAGTTAGATTGGAAAGTCAGCTCCGGTTCTAAGCCCTCTCCCACTTGTCTTCAGGGATAAGCCTTTGTGTGCGGATCACACTGACTTTGAGCCCAGCAGTGTGTAACTTCTATGCAGTGCACATTTATGAAGGCTGCTATGATGAGCAAACTTATGGCCTCCATAAGCAGGATGACATGAAAGAAGCATACTGCAAGCACCTCCCTGGGGTAACAGGGAAGCCAAATGTCCTCCCATCTCTGGGGGGGGGGGGGCAAAGGTCATTAAAGACTTTGGGAGAATTCCTCGAAAATGTGTGTATGGTTTTGGGTTTTGGTTGTGTTAGGATTGAACCCACGGCCTTTCACATGTGAGGCAATGCCCTAACACCAAGTTGTATCTACAGCCCTGTACTTTAAATTCTGATAAACTCTGCCCAAACCTTCCAAAACTATTTGTATAGAACTTCAAGAGCCATCCTACCAGGCACTGCCTCTAGTCCAAGGCACTGTTTCTATTAAACAAACGCCACACATCTAATTAGATGATTCCAGGATGGCATAAGTAGGATGAACTCAGAAATATCAATCAAAGTGTGGGTATCAGGTGGACCAAAAAAACAAAACAAAAAAACCCTACATTCTTTTAAAAATGAGTAATATGGGCAGCACCAATTATACTTGGCAAGTTAAAAAAAAAAAAAAAAGACACAAAGTTGGGCAGGAGCGGGAAGAGGGGGTGGATCTGGTAGGGGAAGGAATATGATCAAAATAAAATTCTTGAACTAATTTTTTAAAAAGTGACTCAATAATCTTAAGAAAAAAAGTTTTCTTACTGTTCAGGGGGACCTGGATTTTATTCAACAGCAATGTGCTGTGACCTCTGTGTGTTAGAAGGATGTGGGCTTTAGCGATCAAGACCCAGTGCCATTGTTCACTGTGACATAGGACTAGCTGTGCTCTCATTATGACAATAACAGCTCACACACTCCCATGCTGTGAGGCCCCATGAAGAAAAGAGCAACCTTGAGTCCAGGGGCTGCACACAGGTGCCAGCTGGTTACTGAGTGCCTGCAGAGCCTATTATTATTACTAATATCCTTACATTTATTGTATAAATGTTCATTGGTAGAAAAATATTTGTGTGAGCCTGCATGTTGTATATATGTATATCTTTTTGTGATTCCTCCCATCACCCTGTACCCCCTAGTTCTGAAGACTGAACCCAGGGCTTTTCATAGCTAGGCAAGCCCTCTATCACTGAGCTAAATCCCCAGGCTCGGAGACCTTTCTTTCCTATACCTTGGTTCTTCAGCTGTAAATCTTCTACCAGGGTTTGCAAACTTTCCAGTCTGTTCTGAAGTTTTCGGCATGTTTTTCCTGTTGTTTCTAGTGACGGAGACTGTGAATCTATTAGAAAATTGCTTAGATGTGGTATTAAAAGTCTATTCAATATTTCTTTTAGAAATCTTCAAATTATGTGTTAAAGAAATGTTCCTAAGAAAACCTGAAAGCATTTTAAAATGAAAACAATTCCCATTTAAAATCAGCAAAACTGTCTTATTTGGTTTTGTTTCAAATCAAGTTGATTTACCATTATTCAACTATACCACTGTGCAGTGGTCAGTTTTCACAGCAAACCTAAGTAGTTCCTAACTGAGGCTTAGGGAGCAGGCTGTAATTCAGACACTGGCATACTTTCTGATGTCAGACTGTCACCTGAGTGGGGATGGTCTAGTGGTGGGAAAGGGTTGTATGGATGCTGGCATGGCACAGTGACCCTAAGATGTGGCAGTAGTAACTGAGGGGCCCAAAGGCATGAAGGCTGTCTTTAGGAAGTGTGTAAGTTCTGTCAATTTTTTTAAAACACTTGGTTAGCAAACGGAAGAGTTGAGTTTTTATCTTAGCCCTGGAGTATGATTAATTTTAAAAACATTTTTGCTGACTTTTAATTACCAAATACCCTTTTTTGTTGTTGTAATTACAGTATTAAAATAATTCTCTAAAAGGTTTTCAGTTTAAGAGTATGAGAAACAACATCTTGAACAGAAATAATCTATAACCTGATGCCTGATGAGAATCTGAAAGGGGGAAGGAAATGTCCTATCACTATGCGATGTTACAGATGTTGCCCTCCTCTAGTGATCCCGGATCAGTTAGTTGATTCTTTGCAATTACTTGTGGTTTGTCTGCCTCCTTTGAGGCAGTGTCTCACTATGTAGCCATGGATGGCTCAGGATTCACTATATAGACCCAGCCGACTTTGGAGACCTCCTCTCTGTGTCTCCTCAATGAGACAATAAAGAGCTCAGAAACAAAAGACAGGGTACAATGCACACAACAGAAACAATAAAGTGTACTCAAATGTGATTAGGTTCTGATTTTTGTACTTTTTTAGAATCTGGAAATATGTATGTCATAAAACATCAAAAGACTAAGAAATGTTTTGACAATGACACAACACCTTGTGTGGCTTGTGCCTTATCAATCAATGAGAATGATCCCACAGAATGCTGGACTGGTTGTGGTCACTGCTATATAGAATGAGAAACATTTCAAGTCCAGTTCAACACACTTATATGCAATTCAAAATTCTAAGGCACTTACTACAAATCAATTTTTCATTTATTTTATAAAACAAAAACTGAACTTAAAGTTGATGAGATTTTGTACAAGATTGTATAACAGACATCTGCACTTCAAGGGAGAGCCATGCTTTAACTAAGCAAGAATGGAAAGTCTCAGCACTGAGACACAATGTATTCTAAAATAAAATTAACAGAAAAAAAAAGTTCACTGTTCATGCCAGACAAGAGTAGAAATGCACTGATATGTAACATCTAAACTTTTAGTATCCTACTGCATGAGTGTGCACATACAATCATTGTCTAATTTAAAGACCACATACTCACAGCACCAACTGCAGGGCTGCATATGAGAGGAGTGTGCAGAATCTTGCAGTCCCTGATGTAGGCAATCAATCAATGTCATCAGCAATATCAGGCCATCCTTACCTTTTGTAGAGTCGGGTGAGTGAATGGGCTTGGTGGAGCGGTACTGTGATGTGGAGCCCACTGACTCCTCGGCAGAGCTAGTCAGAAGCGAGTGCACTGGAGACTTCTTAGGAGAAGAATTGAAGGAACGGGAGGCAGAGATCTTCACAGATGGACTTGCTAAGATTGTATAAGGACCAAGGTAAAAGACAGAATTAGCTAAATATAACATAGTGCACTTATAAAAAAAAGTCAAACTTTCACAAGTAAAATGAGTCCAATGACAGGGATGGGAGGACAACTACTTCGAACAGTTATGTCCTAAAAAGGGCTGAACCTTATGTGATGGCTTACTATTGTTAATTCACTGGACTGAGAGAGATACAGAAAACTGGTAGAGGACATTTCGGGTTGTCTGTGAGAGTTTCCAGAGAAAAGAGGCATTTATGTCAGCAAACTGGATGGGGGACCCCCTCTATGTGGGTGTGTCAGCAAGTTAAGTCCAGCTGGAACAAAAAGTGGTTCGGAAGCTCGTCTGTGGACCCGAGCTTAATTCTTCATGAGTGGGTTTGCTTTTGATACTGCTATTGCCTGAACACACCAGGTCCAGCATCTTCAACCTGACTTTCAAGCAAGACTTCAGGTCTCAGCCTGAAGCACTGCCCCCTCAAGATTCTTAGTAAAGCAACTGTTTTCCCCTGCTATATTAGCTTGCAGGTGGTCTTTGTCAAACTTCCCAGCCTCTGATCATGGAAGTTAATTACATGGAAGTTAGTTACATAAACATCTTATGGTTTTGTTCATCTGGAGAACCCTGGCATTAGGAATGAGAACATGCAGGACCCTGAGACCCAGGGTCAAATCAGATCCACTGATGATCTGATCAAACTGATCCATGACTGTCAACACCCTTAGCTGTCTACAAAAACAAACACAATAAATTCTGTCTAGAAGGCAACCTCAATCTGAGTCTCACTCCAGCTGTAAAATTTCTTAGGAAGTGTCACATGATAAAAACTAACTGGGTATGTAAGGAGAAAGATGACATGGAAGAAAACCAAGAGAAAAAATGTAAACAGTAGATCACTGGTATACAGGGAGACCAGACAAAGGAACTGTCAGCAGGGACTTCCATAGATTCAAACCAAGTGACTTCAAACAACAGATGTGTTCTACTCGAAGAAAGAAAATGGATAAGAACTGCTAAAACAAGCAAGCAAACAAAAGGCAAAAAAATATTACAGCTGCCTGTCAAGAGGGGAAAGGCATATTACATTAAATTTACAGCTGACTTCTTAGTAGACACAACAGAAACCCTAAGTGGGGGAAATTATTCATATTAAAAGAGGCAGGAGGATCTCTGAGTTCGAAGCCAGACGGGTGTACAGAGTGTGTTCCAGGATAGCCAAGGCTACAAAGAGAAACCCTGTATCAAAAAAACAAAACAATCAAAAAAAAAAAAAAAAAAAAAAAAAAAAGGTGAGCTGAACAAAATCCTGTCCTGGAATTCTATACTCAACAGTGCCTCAAAATGAGGATGAAATACATAATTTCAGGAACTGAGAAAATTTATCACCCTCAGGTATATACTAAAAGCACTAAGTAAAATTATATTACATATATATATTACTTATATATATTATACTAGTTATAAAGTACCAATATGGCAGCATATCAAAATAAGTATTAATTTACAGAAAAATACAAATAATCTGTCCTGAGCCAGGCATGGTAGAGCAGTCCTTTAATCTGAGTGCTCAGGAGGCCAAGGCAAGCAGATGCCTGTGAGTTTGAGGACAGCCAGGGGTACACAGAGAGACTCTGTCTCAAAACAAAACAAAACGAAAACAAAACCCTGTCCTGTGTGATTTTTTTTTCTTTTCTTCCTTTTTTTTTTTTTGTCAGCTTGACACAAGCTAGAGTCATCTGAAAGGAAGGAAGGAACCAGAGCTGAGAAAATGCCTCATCGGTGGGCAAGCCTATGGTGCATTTCCTTGATGGATGATTGATATGGGAGTGCCCAGCTAACAGTGGGTGCTATCACCCCTGGGCAGGTGGTGCTGCTTGAATAAGAAAGCAGGCAAGGCGAGCCATGGGGAGCAAGCCAGGAAGCAGCACTTTTCCATGGTCTTTGCTTCAGTTCCTGCCTCCAGCTTCCTGCCCTGACTTTCTTTGATGATGGACTGTGCTGGGAAGCTGTAAGCCAAACAAATCCTTTCTTCTCCAAGTTGCTTTTGGTAACCAAGTTTTATCACAGGAATAGAAAGCTAAGAAAATCAACTGTGTTTATATTTGTAATCAGTCTTTGTTAACAAAATTGTATGAAAGCTGGAAGGATATTGATATTCTAAGGTGTTCAGAATATGTGAGAAATAGTCATCTAAAAGGCAAGAGTGTTACTCGACTGTCCTGACTAATCATTAAGATAGCAATTTTAAAGGGCTGGAGAAATAGCTCAGTTGGTAAAATGCTTGTTGTGCAAACAAGAGTACCTCCATTTGAAGGCAGGGACCCATATAAAAAAAAAGTGCTAGCATAAGACTGAAATTTCAGCACTGGTGATGCAGAGGAAGGACATCCCTGGGGATTACTGAATGGCCAGCCTTGCCTAATTTGTGAGTTCCAACAAGCATTTATTCAAGAGCTGCTTTATGTCAGGAAGGCTCTAAATACCTGGGGTGCATCAGGTAGCCAAAGACTGCAGAGTTCTATTTCCCAGGCTGTGGCATGGCATACAGTAACACCACCAAGAAGAAAGTCACATGGTATATTAGAGGATGGGGTGTAACCCAGGTGGAAAAGGTAAGGGGAACTGGAAAGTGTGGGAAGGTTGGGATTTTTTTTGAGTAAGTTTTGAGAATTAAAGGTTGCTGGGAAAGCGACATTTGAACACAATTTCAAAGAGGATGAGGTGGTTAGCGATGTTTGTGACTCTGTAGGTGCAAAAGCCCCATCAAGAAGACAGAGAGACAGGTTCAACTAAGAGTTCAAGATGGGTAATACAGAATGACGGAACAGGAGGGTTGAAGGAAGTGAGACCAGAGTCAATGGGGCATTAAGCACTGCTGTGGTGGCTGTGGCTTTATTCTCTTGCAGTGAGAACCTCTGCTGATTTCACTGAAAACTCACCTGTAGATGTGAATGTGAAGCAACTGGACGGGTCTTCCAGGTCCCCTGCATGTAGCGCGACTGGCTCTCTGCAAACATAACAGCCGTGTGTGGTTAATTGTGCCAGCTTGACTGGACTAACAAACACCTAGGTGATCATCACAGTACTGTGCTGGGGCGGAGCATCTGTGATGTTTCCAGAGATGGTTCGATCACACCTGCTCTCAATGGATGGTGCTTGGGGAGGGCCACCAGCCTTGGGATGGCACCATCAATCACAAATTAAGAAAATGTTCCACAGACTTGCTTACAGCTGGATTTTATGGAGGCATTTTCTCAATTGAGGTTCCTTCTTCTCTGACTCTAGCCTGTATCAAGTTGACATAAAACTAGCCAGCACATTAAGATTTAAGTAGTTCAAGTGTGTAATCATTTTCATACTCTTAAAATATAAAGATGGTTTAGATAGCTCCATTTTTATAGATCATGTAAACAGAAAAGATTAAAGTAAGGCTTTTATAATTTAGGGGCAGGGAAATCATTTCTCACCTGCTAAGAGTTTCACTGGACTTGCTGCCTTCAGTGGACTCTCTTAAGGAGTTGTTACTTCTGTTACGAGAAATTATAGATACAATGTTATAAAGCTGGGCATAGTAACATAGGCCTTTAATCTCAGCACTCAGAAGGCAGAGGCAGGCTGATTTGTGAATTCCAGGCCAGCCTGGTTTACATAGTGAATTCCAGGACAGTCAAGCCTGTCTTGAAAAAACAAAACAAAACAAATAAAATAACAAAGATAGAATGTTATTCTTTTATCAACATAATAAAAGTCTGTGAGAGAAATAGTTTATTCTTTAGTGGAGATAGGCATTGGAAATTGAACCCAGGGCTATGTACAAGAATAAGCTGCACCCTAAACTCAATTCATTCTCAAACCGGTAGCTAGATTTATGATAAAAACACACTTTCATGTGAGCACTAATTTGGGGCAGTTACAAACTCAAAAGGTTGAGGTTAAAGCTTCAGCTTTTCTGGGTGGAGAAAATGTAAAGTCAAAAGGAAGACAGCTCTGAGGTGCTAAGAAAGAAGAGCCAAGCCCAACAACCTGAATATAATCCCTAGAGCCTGTATGGTGGAAGGGAGAGATGGACTCCTGCAAGTTTGTCTTGTGGCATTTGTGCATGCGTACACCACAAATAAGTCTATGTAGGGAAAGTCTTTTAAAAGAGGGGAGTGAACCATTGAGAACTGACAGTAATCAGCTGGGGACTAAAGACAGCTTAGTACAATGCTCTAGGTTTGGTCCCCATTACCATGTAAATCGGGAACGTGGCCCAGGCCTGCAATCCTAGCAATCAAGTGGTGGAGGCAGAAGGACCAGGAGTTCAAGGTCACCCATTCCTGCTTGTACATGAGATCCTACCTCAAGATTCAAAAATAGATAGATAGATAGATAGGTAGATAGATAGATAGATAGATAGATAGATAGATAGAAGAGGAATAATCTGGTTAGACAGCAGGACAGGCTGTGTCTTAGGGTTTTGACTGCGACTAAACACCACGACCAAAAGCAACCTGAGGGAAAGTGTTTCTTTTTCACATCACAGTCATCATTGGAGAAAGTCAGGGTAGGAAACCAAGCAGAGGCCATGGAGGAATCCTGCTTACTGACTTGCTCCTCATGGCTGCTCGGCCTGCTTTCTTAAACAACTCAGGACCACTGATGTAGGGATGGCACTACTCCCTGTGGGTTGAGCCCTCCCGCATCAATTGTTCCTCTTCCTCTAGACAGGCTTACCCACAGGCCAGTTTTATGGTGGCATTTTCTCAGTTGTAGTTTCTCTTCTCAAACAATTCTAGCTTGTATCAGGTTGGCTTAGACCTAGTTTGCACAAACTCTCTGGTGAAAGCCAAAGACTTTTCAATGCCAGGCTGAGGGACTAGTGTTTGTTGTAGCAGGCATTGATGAGAGAAACAATGAGTTCTGCATATTCTCTAATAAGGATTGTTATTGGAAATTTTTTTTCTTTTTTGCTAACATTCTCAGGAATTGTCCTCTTTAGTATAGAAGGCTGTAGGTTTTCTTCATGCTATTTTTTTATGATTTCATTTAGAATTCAGATATTCAATTACTGATGGATATGCTGTTATAACTTCCTTCCGGACCATCCTTTAGAGTTATGAAAACCACTGTAAATATGTGTAAATGTACAGAAAGTCCCGTGGTGTGGCATATCACACAAACAGTTCCCATGGCTATACATCAGTGCTTTTGTCTGGATGCTTAGTATCCTCCTAACTCCCATGAGTTAAGGTTTTGTCCCCAGCATGGAAGGCAGTGGAGCCTTCAGGAGGTGTGCCCTTGTGGGCAGTTCTTAGGCCACTGTGGGTGGGACATCCAAGGGAACTGTGGCCCTGGTCCTCTTCTCTTTTGTTTCTCAGCAGTGAGGTGAGTAGTCCTGCCTCAATTTTCTTGCTATTTGCCATAGGATACCCCCAATAGAGTCCCAAAGCTTTGGGTGTGCCTGGCTGGGTTAGACCTTCAGGATGTGTTGGACTTCAACTTCTGCTCTTGTAAGTTATCTCAGGCACTTTGATATAGTGACAGAAAGCTGAGGACTACAGTCAGCAAGGCTTAAAACAACCAAAAGAGGGAAGAAAGAAGAAAAGGCTTTCAGCTGGTTTCCAGACCCTTCAAGTCCGTTCAAAGTTAACATGTAACAGCTTTCCCTCTCTGAAGACACATCAAGTGCCATGGAAACTATTCAAACCAACTCCTTGATTACCAGTCCTTAGACAACATTCTTGGATGTGAATCCCATCAACTCACCTGTGGCAAAGCTCTGATCTCAGGCTTGATTCCGTGATGCAGTCTCTCACCCTGTCATCTCTGTGGACAGACAAACTCAGTTAGCTACAGACACATGCACTTCTGCAGTCTTGATCTGTTAGAAATAATTGCTCACACTAAATTTTTCTTTAAGTTACCACTGTATTTTAGGCAATATTTACCAGGAGCCAGCCAGTTCTGGATTCAGCTCAGATAACACTTTCTTCCAGGAATTTGTTTGGGGTTTTTAATTTGTTGTTAACAGGTTGGAGCTGTGTAGCCCTGGCTGGCCTGGAACTCACTACATCATCAGGCTGGTCTCAAACTTGCAGGAATACTCCTGTGTCTGTGTCACAAGCACTAGGATCCCAGGCATGCACCACTACAAGGACTTTCTTCCATGCATTCTTCAGCATTGAGCAGAAGTTAGATGTTAGTGACAAGGCCATTTGTAGGGTCATAGGAAATTAACCCAAATCCTCACCAAATCCATTTGTTTGATACAGTCCTGATACATCAAGTCCACTGGGGACTGCAGTGATGAAAATGGACTGGGGAAGCCATGGTAACCAGGCAGACTCTACAGTATAGAGCCACTGTGCTCAGAACAGAGCTCCTGCTTCTTCTGGTTTTGTCTCTTAGTTTTATAAGAGGTAGGTCAGGCAGATGAAATTCATTCATGTGTTAAATGACCTAACAATACTGACCTGGCTTAGATGACCATTAGAGTTACAATAAAACTGAAAGTGCTCTGGCTGTCGTGGCAGTGCATGCTTGCTTATAATCCACACTGGATGCTGAGGCAGGAGGATCAAGAGTTCAAATCCAGTCTGATTCCATTTCAAAAAAAAAAAAAAAAGCTCGGCATGGTAGTGCATACCTTTAATATTAGCCTTCTGTGAGGCAGGCAGATAACTGTGAGTTTGAGGTTAGCCTGCCTGGCTTGCACAGGGAGTTCCAGGACAGCCAGGGCTACACAGTGACACTGTCTCATCCCCCTGCCCCCTAGAAAACAAAGTGTTCTGCAAGCCCAAGAATTCTTTGGTGGACTATCCAACAGAACATTTCTGGCTTTTGTGGCTGAGGTAATGCAGTGTCATGATAGGTAATCAATATATTACTAATGATTTACTGTTATTATTAACAATTAGATAAATCCAGCTAATGTTGGCACTTGGGTTAAATATACATCTCAAAACATCTTCAGGAACTAGAGATGAGTTATATATTTCTTCAGAAAAATTTACTTTCAGACCTTTGCCATATAAACATTAGTATTACAAAATAAGATTAAAAACAACACAGATACCACATTACATGCTTTAATAAAAGTTAATCTAAATGATAATATGAGAGATTTGAAAAGTACACAGGAGTCTCACTGACCTCTGTAGATATGGTCAGGAGGGGCTGGTGAGCTCATCTGTTTTGATGAGACATCTTATTGATTTGTTATAAGCCGTTGCCATGAATATCCAGAGACCTAGGCTTTGCTTTTCCTATTAGCTTATCCCTTGTGTGTGTGTAGCCCACAGTGCTATACAGTTCTAGCTTCGCAATGGACTATGTGCTGCACACATATCAGCCTTTGGGGATTTGTTTTTCTCACTTGTCATGTGGGATAAACAAACTTTGTCCCACCTTGTCACAGCTGGTGATGCAATACTCGGTATGACTATGGACGTGCAATCTCTTGGGAATCATAAATCACTACAAATTAACACTGACTAACACTGTGTACTCTTTCTGGACTGAATGTGTCCATTTGCCCTTGAGGGATGGCTTCTTTGCTTAACCTCTCTACCTTTTGCTTTTTCAGGTAACTTTACATTCTCTTCAAAGTTGTTTAACCCTTGACTATCCAGACAGAGACATGTGAAGAACAGTGCTGACAAGCTCCTGAGAGGAGCTTTGGCATTGGGAGCATGCAGTCTCACATGGTCACCTACAATGCTCCGAGGGATGGTGTCCTTCCATCCTCCTCCGTCTTGCTCAGAGGCATGGCCGGCTCCTCATTGATCACACTTCTCAACTCTTGCAGAAGCTGCTTCAGGTCCCTAGTAGGGTCTTCCTTCAGTGTGTTGGTTTTCATAGAGTGCTGATTAAAACAATGCACAAAGACTTAATTTTTCATGTTTGTACATTATATTCTCTTACAGAATTAATTGAGCTGCCAAACAGAAGTTATGGGATAGCAGAATAAACAGTGGCTTATTTTGCAGTGCACATGTCCATTTTAGTTGCTGGTCATTTAGACAGCACCTAACTTTTATTTACACAGTGCTTTCAATGGTTCTGATAATCCTGTTGCCATTTTAAATACAGGACTCTCAAAAACACGACTACTATAACTGAATAAGTCTTTCTTGTCTTTCTGTTTGTTATAGGTTAGAGCTGGATTCTGATTATAAGAAATTTGTATGACTTTAGAGAAAGCCTGAATTTACATTGTCTGTGTTTTTTCTTGTGTTTTGAAAGTATAAAAAATTAAGCTAAAAATTTTACCAAGTTACTAACATTTTAACTAGAGGGACTAAACGTGTTTTAGCATTAATAAAATATTAACAATAGTTAATTAGGAAATGACATAAAGCCAATAGTTTTTGTCTTGGTGAAGTATTAAATACACTGCTAGGCTGCACTTAGCATGTGATATGCCATTTATTTACCATCGTATATGAAACATGCTTGTGCTGGGGTAACTGAAGAACTGAATAAAATGCATTTAAATAATTTAATTCTTTTTGTTATCATTAATCCCAATGACAATTTTATTGTCTTTTGCAAGAAAATAACAGCAAAAAAGATATTTTTTTTTCACATGGACTCCATTGGATTCCTAGGAAATTGTATAAATCTAAAATCTAGTCATTGAAAATGCTAGCTATAAACATTAATAAATGACTTTTTCCCAACTTGGGTCACTCCCATATTGTGTCATTCATTTTATGGGTTACATGACTGGTTACTGACATGAGACAGGAAGCTGGCCGTAGACTGGGAGGATGGGACATTGGAATGAGACCGAGTTACAGATGCCGGCTGCAGAAGACGAGGTTTCATGGAAGGGTTAGAGGTGTAGCCAGGGCCCTGCAGCTCCTACAAGCAATGCAGATGTGAACAAGATAATGCTTACTGCAGCTACAAAGAAGTGTGACATCAAAACAGCCGTTTGACTTCACAGGCGAAACCTATTACTAAAATGTTAAAATACCGAGCAACTTAAAATATACTTCTAAAAATATACACATTTTAGTATAAAAGCACTTTTTAAAGAAACATACTTTGTCATGTAAATTATTGCACAAACAGGCCCAACATTGATCATTTGGGTCTTTGGCTCACCTGACACCTATGTGTGGAAAACTCTTTCCTCAGGTATTCCCAAGGCAGGCACGCGTGGAACATTGTTTCACTTACTTATTGTCAACTAAGACTAAAATGTGCTGTTTTGATGTTATCCTAAATGAGAAGTATGTGTATAGTGTGCAGCAATGCTTCTACAGACTATAAATGTAGCAGATGATGTGGAAAGTATATCAAATGAATATGCAGGGACTTGGGAAGCTGGCTCCGATGGTAGAGGGCTTGTGCAAGCATAGGGACTTCTACCCCAGTACTGGGAATAAGCCAAGTAGGTGGTGTAAGACTGTAATCTCAGTGCTGGGTGGTGGAGAGAATGGCTCCTGGGGCCTTGATGGCCAGCTAGCCTAACCTTGTGAGTTCCAGATTCAGTGAGAGACCCTATGGAGAAGTGACTGAGGAAGAAACCTAACATTGATTCTCTGGCCTCCACAGTGCTCACTTAAAAACACACAAGTATGTACACACACACACACACACAAACACGTACACAAGGAAAAGATCAAAGCACATCAAGCATAGGCATTGCTTCTACTTAAATTATATATGATGAAAACTACCCTTACTTTTACATCCAAAGTGTGCTGAAGTTTTAGACGCACAGACTCTTGTTCTTGGCGCTGTATTATATCTTGGCATTCTGCAAACTGCAAAGATGCCTACAATCAAGCAACCATAAGTGGTTTATCCTCCATTCTGGTATGCACTTTTATTTCATTAACCTGCAGTTTCCAGCTCTTCAACGAAAACCACTATCCACCCTGGCATACTGTATTCTAATGATCCGTTTATCTGTTGCCTTTAGCCATGTGACCTATCTTATCAGTGTATCCTCAGCAAACACACAATCATTAGTACAAGTGGATGAACAAAGGATGGAATTAGCAAAAAACCTCATCAAAGCATAAAATTCATATGCTGGTCTCAGAGGTGCAGGCCTATAATCCAAGGACACAGTAGGTAAAAACAGAAAGATGAGTAGTCCAATGCTACCCTGGGCTACATAACAAGTTTGGGGGCTTATCCAAAAATCCAAAACTATGACTGAAAAAAAAAAAAAACAAAGCTGGCATCATCAGATACAAATTATTTTATTTAACACAAAGGTGTGGTTTCTTAGGAGTTATGATTGGTTTTGATTGATGCAGCTTTAGGTTTCAGGGTTTCTAAGTAACAGGGAGACAGTTTTACCCTGTGTAACAAATGATAAACACCGTCGGCCCTTCTCCTTTTGGCTGTTTTCAACCCCAGCTGTCCAGACACAACAAGGTGTCAGATATTAGCACTATCATTTTATTAACACTTAAGAGACTGTATAAAATCTAGATTAGTTTTGATGGTAGGCAAGGTGCTCATGGAGGCATGTTTACTTTGGTTACTAAGGATATCAAGGACATGTTTTAGCTACTGCTCCTGTGACTTGTATTAGCATGAAAATGGTTATTTTCCTGGGAAGAAAGATATGCTATTATGAAATGAGTCTAAAATGTCCCTCAAATGGCATGGAAGCTTTAGGAGGTGGCCCAGTTGACAGAAAGGCCTCTAAAGACAGGACGGGACTTTCTTGAAGGGCTTCACACTCAGCTCACTGGTCAGCCAGGATGTAAGGTACAGCTGCCATACTTCCCACTGGGGGGGGGGGAAGAGACACTGAAAGAAACACGAAATCATGAATGACCTCCACTGCTTCTGCTAGTTTAGAGACAGCCACACAGAGGCACTGACTACATATGCCACGGCTGTGAGTTTTAGATCCAGTCTCCTTGTAAGTGACAGCTTGCTTCGGTGCTGTAACATCAGGCTGTCATGCAAGCTGGCAGCACAACACTTCTGCTGAGAACTACCCTATCCAGCTGTTATCCAGGCGCTAACCCTCATCCACTCAGTCAATAACTACCTTGTCAAGAGCAACTTCCATGTTAGCAACTTTCTCCTTCAAGCGGCGTTCCTGAGATCGCAGCACTTCTAGCTCTCCGGCCATCTTGTTTTTTTCTGTTGCTACGGTACTCAACTCCTGGCTGAGTTTACTCTTCTCTTCCTTCAAAAAATGTTTCTCCTAAAATTACAGCAAGGAAAGTAGCAGGAATAATTGCTGGTATAAACTTGATAAGTGCTGAAGCCTAAAACATCCATCAAAGGACTCTAGAGTTAGATATATTTTCATCTCCCCTAGTATTACTTAGATTCCATAGGTCTTTGATGACATCTACAAAGTATAAAGCAGCCTTGTAGCATTAAAAAATGATATTTTGTGCTGGGCAGTGGTGGTGCACACCTTCAATCCCAGCACTCGGGAGGCAAAGGCAGGCGGATTCTGAGTTTGAGACCAGCCTGATCTACAGAGCTAGTTCCAGGACAGCCTTCAAAGCCACAGAGAAACCCTGTCTCGAAAAATAAATAAATAAATAAAATGTGATGCAGCATGATTGAATGAATAATGGCATACTAAATTTTACTGAAATTTACTTTGAGTAATAAGATATTTAAGGAAGGTGCATTTATTTGAAAGTCTTATGGGTTTCAATTGTGCTTCATTGTTGAGTGGGCTGACATCAGGCAGTAACTTCACAAAAGCCCTGACCAATCAAAATAAGCACTACTTTAGAGTCCCAAGAGGAAATAATGAGAAAGAGAAAAAGACTATATTCTGGAAAAAAGAAAAGGAGGGAAGAAAAATGGAAAAGAAGAGAGAAATGGAGCTCATTGTGTGATAACTAATAATAAATATAGATAATTAGTTTAGTTACACTGATTACTTTTATGCTATTTAAAATTTTTAATGACATTGTTATTTTATGGACATTGTGCTTTGCCTGAATGTGTGTCTGTGTGAGGGTATTAGACCCATGAAACTGGAGCTACAGACAGTTGTGAGCTGCCATGTGGGTGCTGGGAATTGAACCCAGATCCCCTGGAAGAGCAGGCAGTGCTTTTAACCAGTGAGCCATCTCTCCAACCCCTATACCATTTCTTTTGTATGTTCATTATGGTCAGATTTGTTACAAATGTAAAATATAAATTTGTGTCAAACTGACATCAGAGGACATCCAAACAATGCAAATTTCATGTTGCCATTGAACATTTTTTATTCAATAATTGTGAAAACTCCACCTGACTAACTAGAGCTGTGCAGGAACACACAAAAAGCCCACACACACGTTCTTAAAACATATGTATCAGCTACCTCTGCTTACCCTAGATTATGAGCCACATTTGGCCTTTCACCCTCACAAAAATGTGCAGTTTCATGAGCATTATCTGTCTGTCCGTCCGTCCGTCCGTCCGTCCGTCCGTCCGTCCATCCATCCATCTATCCATCTATCTATCTATGTTCTCATTTTCTTACCGAGGGACTAAAACAGGGCCTTGCACTTGCTGGATAAGCAGGCCAGTGTTCTCTCTCTGAGCTAAATCCCCAGTTACTTTGGTCTTGAATAACTTCATATATGTAACTCTGTGTTACTATTCTGTGTGGTTCTCTAGACCTCACTGTTCTTTAAGTCTGGTAGTATTTATTGCACAATTCTTTAATTAGAACAGTATTGGTTATATTTTTTAATGACTATTTCCTGCCTCTATCAGGAATGTCCCTTTGACCATTCCTGCACTTGTTGTTAGCTATTCTTTAAGATCACTCACTCTACAGAGCCTGGAGGTGGCTCAGTGGTTTAGAGCATTTGTTGCTCTTGCAGAGGACCTAGGCTTGGTTCCTAGCATCCACGCAGTGGCTCATGACCATCCATAACTCCATTTCCAGGGCATTTGGTACTGATATCTAACTTCTGCACACACAGCACACAGGTGCTGCACATACATACATATGTGCAACAAAATAGTCATAAATTTTTTTTCAAAAAATTACATTTTAATTTAAAATTCCTTTACTAATGTTCCTTTTGGAAACTTACCCTCACTCTCCCAATCAGAAATCTCTCCCACTATACTTCCTGTGCTGTGCCCTCTTCTGCCCTATAGTGTGTTGCCAAGCAACTGTGCCGATTTCTCAGGACAAAGACTCACCTTATTGGCACTTGTCACAGCCTCTTCTAAAAACTGCACCTTGCTCTGCAGGGCATCTATCTGACCCCTCTTGGCTGTGATTTGCTTCTGCATGCCCATTGCCACCTTCATAGCTGCAGGAAAGATGCAAGCTGTACACTTTGAGAAGCTACTGTGAGTTATGGCAGGATGACAAGTGAGAGTCACAGAGGTCCCCAGGAAGTGTCAAATAAATTACTATGGAACAGAGGTTCTAGGATTATATAATCATTGCAGCAAATCCCCAGAGATTCTGAACTAGGAAAATCTATGTGGTGATGTGCTCTGGTTTCTTTGCTATTGCAGTGAATTTCACTGAATACTATTAGTTACATGTTTTCATTGGTAGTAATAACACTGAACACAATTACATACATATAGGAAACACACATATAAACAGTCATATACGTTTGACAAAGATTATTTTTTTCAGAAACCTATGTTTAAAATATTATTTAAGCATCTACTATTAACAAACTTTTGATTCCAGGGATATCACAAACCAGAGTTGTCATGTGCTAGAATGCATGGAAATGGCTGTTTAAGCAGAGAGTGCTTTACTTTTTAAAGATTTATTTCTTGAATTTTCATGTATGAGTTTTTTTATGCCTGCATTTATATATGTGTACCACATGTATGCGTAGTGCCTGTGGAGGCCAGAAGAAGGTGTCAGATCCTCAGGAACTGGAGTCATACATCACTGTGAGCCACCTAAGTGGGAGCTGAGAATCAAACCCTGGTCCTCTGCAAGAGCAACAAGTGCTCTAAACTACTGAGCCATCTCTCCAGCCCAGATGAGAATGTCCGGCAGAACCCTCAGGATGCAGTAAGCTATTGAAAAGATATGGGAAGGCTGTCTATTCACAGAATTTTAAAGTCAGAAGACCTTATCTTTTATTTAAAAGTTAGTTGAGGGAAAAGGTTCGAAACTAATATTGCTCTGAGTCAGGCCTGGTGATAAATTAGGGGTTAAAAAGGAAAAGGAAAACATACTATTTGTTGAAAAGAAAACATCAGAAAAATAGTGATATTTTTCATTAACAACATACAGTTCTTGCCAGGTGTGGTTGGGCACTCCTTTAATCCCAGCACTCTGGAGGCAGGTGGCGCTCTGTGAGATGGAGGCCAGCCTGATCTACATAGCAAATCCCAGGCTACCCAGGGCTACACAGTAAGACCTTGTCTTAAAAAAAAGTTTTCATAATAATCTGCCAAAAATCAAGGTCTATAACCCAGGAGTAGTGCACTGATTTTTTGAAAATTTCTTACATTTACACAATGATTGTCTTAATCAAATCCATTCAGAATCCTCTCCTGCGAGCTTACAGGAATGGGCTCCTACCACATCCTTCCCTCACCCTCAGACAGGGTCTTGCTTATCCCGGTCTGGCCTTGAATCTGTTATGCAGACAAAGATGACCTTGATCTTCTTATTCCCTGTTTCTGCCTCCTCAGTACTGGTAATTTAGGGGTCTGCCATCAGGCCGAACTTACTTGGTGTTGGGGATTTGAACCTATGACTTCATGCATACTGGGTAAACACTACCGAATGCGCCATATGGAATATATGAAACCAACTGATTAACTGATTTATTGGTATATCAAAAACTGATACCATTTGCTTGACAATTTGAAGGATTCTGGTCTGATTAAGTAGATTATGGTTGGTTTTCAAAGGTAATCTCATTTTTTTCATTTTAATCTGACCTTAAAAACAAATATTTGAGTGCAATTACAAAGTTTACCTATGCAATTAGTAATTATAACCCACTGGGATGGCTGGGGTGAGAGAACAGGCCCTGAAGGGCCTTCAGTGTCCTTTCCAATGCCATTCACTTAGCATTAATCAGCAAAAGCACAACTGCCAAGAGCCACAAGAACAACAGGGCACTTTAGAACTGTGGGTCCTCCGTGCACAGGGCAGCATAGTCCCTGTGCCACTCTGATTTGGGGGCTATGTACTGCCAGAGTCAGAAGTGGTGGCACAGATTTGTAATCCCAGATAGGAAAAGCAGGGGTTGAAGTTATCTCAGCTATATAGCAAGTTGAGGCTAACCTGGGTGACCAGAGTCCCTGTCTTAAAAAAAAAAAGAAAACAGAAAAACAAAGCAAACAAACAAACAAACAAACAACAACAAAATAACCACAAAAGGAATCTGTGCTGTTGCTCAAGCATAAATGAATCTTCTAACTAAAAACCAAAACAAAAACTCTCCAACAAGGGGCCAACAAGATGGCTCAGTGAGTAAAGGTGATTGCTACTAAGACTGACAACCTGAACTTGATTCTTGGACCCACATGGCAGAAGGAGAGAGCCAACTCCAGAAAGTTGTCCTCTGACCTCCACATGTATACACACACACACACATATATTTAAAATTTTTTTAATTAATGAAGTGGGGGCTAGGAGATGGCATAGTTGGTAAGGTCCTTGCTGTGGAAGAATGGGGACCTAATTTTGACCCCGGCACCTGCAGCAAAACTGGGCATGGAACACTAGTATGTAATCCTGTGCTCTCTGGCCCGATTATCTACAAAATCAGGAGTTCCAGGTGCAGTGATTGAGAAAGACCTGTCTCAAAAATTAAAGTGGAAAATAATGAAAGACAACACCTGATGTCGACCTCTGATGTCTAAACACATGTATACATGCAAACACATGTGAAAACAGTTACAAGAAAGGAAAACAGACTAAATTTGAGAAAGGATTTCTCTGTGTGTCCCTGGCTGCCCTGGAACTCTCTTTGTAGATCAGGCTGGTCTTGAACTGAGCGATCTGCCTGCTTCGATCTCCCAAGTGCTGGGATTAAAGGCCACCACTGCCTGGCTAAAGACTAATTCTTATAGCCAGCTATTACAGCTATACCCCAAATGGCAAGATAATGTAAGAGGACCAGCTCCTCTCATTTTGATGAGTGGACAGTTCACACTCACACATCACATGCATGGACAGTTCACACTCACACATCACATGCATGGACAGTTCACACTCACACATCACATGCATGTACAGTTCACACTCACACATCACATGAATGGACAATTCACTCTCACACGACACGTGCATGGTCAGTAAGACCAGCAAGTCAAAAGGTAACAAGTATGATAATGACCCCTCATCTAGAAGTTACATTACCAAATCCCATCTCATTTTTATCAGAGAAGAAATCAAGAGCTGCCAATTAGCCATTGATCTACAGTTTATATAGACAATCTGCATGAAAAAAATAGGAAGCTGACTGAAAAATATCAGGGGCTTACATTTCTATCCTTAAAAATAAGGCAAGACCATGAGATTTTTCAGAAATTACTGAAATAGCCATAAATAAAGGAAAAGACTGCTATGCTTTCAGATGCTAGGGACTAAAGCACAGGGCAATTTCTCCTAAAGCACAGTAGAAACGCAGCTTCATAACACCTGTCACTAATGCCTGTGGGTATGTCTCTCATCAGCTGGCCCGTGAAGAGGTGGTAGACAGTATGTCCAGGCTGGTGTCCTGATAAATGGAGACAAGGGAATGAGAGACAGGGAAGTGAAACAGAGCATACATACCATGGCCGTCCGACCCTTCCATGGCCTTTAGTGTGCTCCTTGTCTGCTCCAGCTCAGACTGCGCAGACTTTAATTGCATCTTTAGCTTGTTTGTGGTGGTTTCCATTTCTTCACTTTTGTTTCGGAAATTCCTTTTCAAGACTTCATAGTCCTCTATATAACATAATTAGCAATATTTGTAATTAATCATAGCATCTTCGAGGCTGGAAGAGAACTAATTTGATACAGACATGAGGTGTGCACACACACACACTGTAAGGATCTGCTGCACTTTCTTTTACCTGCCTTCATTCAAAGCTTCTCCCAGCCTTCATAACTAGCTCACATTTCTCCTGCCTTTGTGCCAAGAGTATTTGATCACACTGTGAAACCTGAGACTGACTCTGTTAATAAAACTGAGCTTGGGTCAGGGAGCGGAGCCATCAACTAGTTGACAGGAATTAGCCATAGAGAGTACAGAAGAGACAGGAAGATGGATAGAGAGACACACAGGAAGTAGGGAGGGACTTGGAGTTTCATGGTCTTGGGACAGGTGGAGAGATGCTCTCTTGTTGGGTCTCTGGCCAGAAAGGATGATGGGTATCAAAGAACTTTCATATGGAGTTTGTTTTTAATGTGGCAAAGACAGCTACTGGGCAAGAAACCATTTGATGTGACTGCTGACAGTATGCTGTCCAAATTGGACAAGCGGGACACAAAGGAAGTTGATCGCCAAACTCTGCCAAGACAAGGTACATTAGTTGGGATTAAAGCCCTGTGCCACGTGGCCAGCTTTATGTCTTTTTCATGACTCCAATCTTCATGGCACCACAGATGACTTAAGGCTCCTGTGCCTTTTCAAACTTTATTTTTCAATTGACTTCCAAGTGTGTCACCTCCCTCCCTCCCTTAGGTACTACATACTGAACCCAAGGCCTTGCCCATACAGGCAAGTACTTCACCACCAAGTTACACCCTTATGTATCCATTTATCTATTTATTTACTATCTATCTAGTAACTATCAAAGAGCCTGGCACACACATAGTCCAAGTTCTATCATAAATGAAGGAAGAGGCTCACTAGACCCCACTCATAACTGAGGAACAACTGGCAGTTGATATCTGCTGAAGGAAGACTGTGTTTTTTGTGCTGGGGTGTGTTCTTAGTCTGTTGCCCATGCATCAGTATATGGCCTAAACTCATGCATATTTAATCAATACTAATTGAACTCAGTGGATTATTAAAAAATAATAGTGAGAGGACATGATGTTGGGAGGGAAATGGAAGAGGGTTCCAAAAAGAGCAGAAGGAGGACAGTGAGGGGTGGATATGATCAAAATATATTATATACTGTATGAAAGTCACAAAGAATAAATACACTTAAAAATACTTGGCATAAGGTATGTGGTGGTGGCGCACACCTTTAATCCCAGCACTTGGGATGCAGAAGCAAGTGGATCTCTGTGAGTTTGAGTCCAGCCTGGTCTACAGAGCAAATTACAGGATAGGCTCCAAAGCTACAGAGAAATCTTGTCTCGAAACAATAACAACAAAAAAATACTTGGCATAAACTCATCCACCACATATTTTATTTACCTATGTACACATGATAGAGATTTTGAGAGGGTAAGACAAGCTCTCATGTAGTCAGGCTGGTCTCAAGCTCACTAGATTGCCAAAAATAACCAGGAACTCCTGATTCTTCATGTCTCTACCTCCCAAGTGCTGGGATTATAAACATGCATCACACTTGGCTATGATACAGATTTACATGCAAAAGTTCAATTCCACATACTAACTGTTGCCTCACACTGACTACCTCTGCCTCCCATGTTGCTCCCAAGCTGCCTCTTCCCTTGTTCCCTCCTTATTTGTTGCTATTATTGTTTCCCAATCCCCAAAGTAAAAATCCCCTAGAAGAAATGTTCCAGTCACTGAGTTCTACTGATGTAACCTCCCAAAGTATTCTTTGTTTTGTGTGTGGGGTGGGGGATGTGGAGGCGTCTGTGGTTTTTTTGTTCATCTTGAGAGAGGGTCTCATTATATAACTCTAGGCTGTCCTGGAACTCAGTGTAGACAAAGCTGGTCTTGAACTCACAGAGATCCACCACCTCTTCCTCCTGAGTGCTGAAATTAAAGGCATGCACTACCAACTACCATATGGGCCCAAAGCAGTCTTAAGTCTTTGGCCTTCTTCTTGCTGCCCTGGCTCTGTTCATGTCCTCCTTATACAGATTTCTCCTTTCAGTAGTTTTTCATAGTTCTTTTTATACATGTCATTTTATTAAACTTTTAATCAAGTAATTTGACTCAAAGGATACAAGAATCCCATTTCCATACAAGCAAAACTGTACAGACAACATGATTTCTGCTGAACACCTCAGGAGGTCTGGAGTCTGGATGCTTCATCTTACTCTTGGAGAGTAAAGGTAATGGTTAGTAAAATCAAGACACAGAAACTCTTCATGAAGGCCTGTGAGATGTGCACATGGCTGGGGCAGCATGGCTATCTGTTTGTCATGTGACATCAGATACTCTTCTTTGTCACTACGAGGGTGCCCATGTGGACTTTACAGCTCTTACTGGATAAACTGAAATGACATACCTGAGAGACTGTTTAATTCTGTCCTACTAGTCTTCACTTCATTCAAGAGCTGATCTCGCTCTTGTCTGATGTCCTTCACCGCTCGGAGCCGCTCGGAGCCTGCATTCACCAACTTCACCTTTTCCAGTTCTAGATCACTCACTCTGGCTTCAAGCTCCCGGATCTTTGCATCTTTTTTATCTTTTAAAATCTGTTCATGACAAATACAAAGTATAGCAAAAAGAGTAAAAGAATATGTATGTGTATTTTTAAAAAGCCCCTGTATCATTACAATTCTATCTATTTTTAATTTTTTTCAGTGCTTTTAAGGATACTTATGTAGTTTTTCTTTGATAAAATGCCCATGAGAAGCGGCTTAGGGCTATGTGGAGTGGTATTTTGGTTCGTGGTTTTTGAGAATATATCATGACAGGAAGGCATGGTAGTTGGAACATCTCAGTCCACAGTGGCTGAAACATGCAGTGTGGCTTCCTCACATCTCGACAGATCACAGAGCAGAGAGCTAAGGCCAGAATCAAGGGGTTTTTACCTCCAAGACCCACCTCCAGCCACCCATTTTAGCTAAGTCCCAAAGGTTTTACAGCCATCCAAAACGTCGCTACCAACCGGGGCATGAGCATTCCAACCATGGGCCCATGAAGACATCCCAGATTCAGACCCTTACAGCTGGCCAAAGGAGCAAGCAATGGGACAAAGCCTGAAATGACCTTCAAATACAGGAGCCTTTGGGGACACTTTAATTCACTCACAGTACAACACTGAATCTGGATTTTAACATAAGACACCAATGAAAGTGGTAAGGAGAGAAGAAAGGAATAGTTTGCCATTTTTTCAGACTCAGGTGTCTATACCCAGGATCATTTATCATAACCTGGAATTATTCCTATTCTCCATTCACACTACAGTGGGTACTTTTTCATATGTTGGGGACTCACAGAGAGACAGGACTAAGTGAGCCTGCACAAGAGGTCTCTATCTTAGACTTCTCTTGCCTTACCCAAGTCCCAATCCTGAATACCTCCCATGTGACAAGAGAGACAGGGAACAACTGTGTGTGACACACCAAGAAAGAGACAAACTATGGAAAGGGAAGGAGATGTGAGGGAGGGTGTGGGTGTGGGGGAGGGGTGAATGTGAGGGGTGGGTATGAGAGAGGGGGTGGGTGTGAGGGAGAGGGATGTGGGGGAGGCCGTTACTTGAGATGAGCTGGAGTATAGAGAAGTGTTAACACAGCAGGCCTGCTCCTGTCTGTCAGGTCTGCTCACAAGACTGGTCCTTGGCTGGTATTTAGGGTCTCTGAAGCCTTAGGAGGTGGAGCCTACTTGATGGAAATAGATCACTAAGACCTGCCTTTGAAGGTCATACCCAGTCTACTCTACTTGCCCATCTACATAGTGAGTTCCAGATCAGTCATAGTTACATAGTGAGACACCCTCTCCAAATTAAAAAAAAAGAAAAAAGATTTAGCATTCCGTGATTCATGCTTGGAATCCCAGCATTTGACAGAATGATCATTGCAAGCCTGAGGCCAGGTTGAGCCTCCATAATGGGTTTCATGTGATCTGGCTTCCAAAAAAAGGAGGAGGAGGAGGAAGAAACCATAAAAACATGGGGCAAAAACACAAAGATGAATAAGGTGTGTGCTTTGCTTTATGAAGTCACACATGCAGTTAGGAGACTCAATATTTAAACATTCAGTGCAGCAGAGAAGTGACAGGTACACAGTTGAGCGGTTAACAGAACTAGGAAACTAATATTTACACAGGACAGACTGTCTTTCTTTGATGTATATTTGAGGCCAAATATATGTATTTTTTGGCCTCATAACAGCCCAATAAAGTTGTTGTGTTTTTGTTTGCTTGTGTTTTTGTTTTCATAGACACGCACTAAGAGTAAGTGAACAGTCCAGTGTTATGTAGCCCTCACACTATGGGCTCAGGGAACATTTCAGAGAGGGTTCCTTGCTATTTTCCTTTTGTGCCCATGATCCTGAACCATTTTGGAGACACACATTCCTTTTAGAGAGTTGCAGCAGGGATCTGTTCTCCAAAACTTACAATAGCAACTCAGATGCTTCCTATTCTAGGGGCCCCATAAACATCAAGAATAATTTCAGCTCTTCTCAATATAGTATTAGGTTATTGTTGCTTGGAGAACAGAAAACGTGGGAGCTAACCCACCCAAGCCCCATTCAGACCTTAAACTCCTGCAGTTCCAGCTTCCGGTCATTAATCTCTTTCTCTAGCTGAGCCTTTTCCACCTGCATGGCACCGGCGGTCCGGCCGTGCTGGCCAACCAGCTGCGTCATGTTCTCAATCTGCTGCCGCAAGATCTCAATGACCTTGTCCTTCTCCGCCATCTGGAGTTTGAGCGCCTCACACTCTGTCTGCACATTTCTGAGGTGGTCCCCCTCGTTTTTCAGGTGCTGAAGCTCCTGCAACTTCAAGTCCACCCGTGAGCGAAGCTTAGTGATCTCTGCATTGGTAGCCTCGATGGCTCGCTCCTTCTCCTGGAGGGAAGCTGTCAGGTCGGACACTGTCCTCTCAGAGCTCTCAAGGGTCATCTTCTTGGCTGTCAACTCTTCCACGACCTTGCGCAGCATCTCCTTGGTGGACTCGAGCTGTGCAGTGAGGGACGACACTTTCTCCAGGCTCTCGTTCTTCCCCTGAATGGCTGCCATCTGCACAAAAACCAAGTTTCCTAACTGGAGTTGTGGCTGAAGGAGGGGATGGGCAAGTTAACTCAAAGCATGAAACCCTGAACTGGAGAGTCCACACAGCCTAATATAAATCATTTGGCTGTCGGCACATTAGGACACAAAGGACATTTCCCCCCACGGAAGAGGCCACCTGGCTTGCACGCTCTCTCACCTGCCGCTCCATCTGGCCTTGACACTCGCTCTTCATGGCCTTGAGCAGGGCCTCCAGCCGTTGCACCTCCATATTCCTGTCATCCAACTCCCTCCGCAAGTGGTCGATGGTGATGCTGTTACCAGTGTCTCGGTCCCACAGACGCTTGTTCTGTTCCTTCTCCAGACTCAGCTCTTTCTCCCTCTTGTGGAGATCTGCCTAAAAGAAGTGAGGAGTGCTTTTTCTCCCATCCGTTGTCATACAAGTCAAAATAAATCCTCCTATTTGCCTTACACAGTCTTCAGTTGTGTGATTTGAGACGCCTTTGGTTATGGAAAACAAATGTTTTTCAACAGCTAGACTAAAAATGGTTATTTCCTAGAAAGGTACCCTGATATTTTGTTTAAACATCTTGGTTTAGAAGTGGCACCTCCCACCTGAATCTCTGCACATGGAAAGTGTATAACTTGTGTTTTGAATGTTGTTTTGCTTCAAAATGAACAAACCACAACTTGAATTTAGTAGATGGCAGTTCTAATTGAAAGACTATGGCTACTTGAAGACCTTATCTAACTTGTAACAGCCACACCTAAAGAAAAAGACCCAGATATCTTATACAAACTACTTGAAGTATGTAGAATGATATCCCACATGTATGCACACTATTCTGTAAAATCTGTAATTATATAATATAAACTGGCTTGTGGAATGTGCTGAACATCTCCCCCGATCCCAACTCTCATACTCTAGAGCAGGAGCTCACCAACAGCTTTTGGAGTTGGTCATCCAGATTTCCTGACTCTTGACTGAACTGGTCCCGCTCTGTGCGCGCTTCAGTAAGCTCTGAATTGGCAAGGACTAGCTGCTTCTCCAGCTCTTCTATCTGGAAGAAAAGCCCAAGTCAAACAAATTCAGCCCAGGTCAGTGTGCCAGAATACAAAGCCTGTGAGAGCAGACAATGAGCAGTAGAGGCAAAGTTAACAGGTTATATGTCTGCAGTTTTCTAACCTTAACATCTCCGTAGGGTTTAGCAGGAGTATCAGTCACTGTGGAGCCCTCCCTCAATACTGCTGCTTCTGTAACAGCACACTGTGCTTTGTGCTTTTCTCAGTTATCTTCTGGAGAGATACATTCTATAATTAAGGGAATCTTTTGGTGGCATAAGCAATGCACTGTAGACCCCAAATGAACTTCACAATACTGAGAAGAGCTAGCTTGTTTTAGAATATCATTCTCAGCTGGGCATAGCAAAGCACACCTTTAATCCCAGCATCAGGAGGCAGAGGCAGGTGGATCTGTGAGCCTGAGGCCAGCCAGCCTGATCTAAATAGGAGTTCTAGGACAGTCAAGGCTATACAATGAGACCATGTCTTGAAAAATCCAAACATCCCCCAAATCAAAGCCTCAATAAGATACTGAATACAAAGAATGAGTAATGATAGTATATCTGTTGTCATATTTCGAAAGAGTGAGTGAATAACTATTTTTAAAGTTAGGAAAGCGGAATGTTGGACAATTTAAGCATTCAAAACTTTATTCTCTTCAACTATAAACAGAAATGAGAATCAATTTTAAAGAATGTATTTGTCCTTCATTCAGGACAGCTATTTGACAGGACAGGGAGACATTTAGTTCACTGAACCATTGATATCACCCAGAGACACACCATTTCTTTACACAAACCTAGCATGCAACAGGTCTACAGGGGGCCCAGGCTGCTCCATCATGGCAAATGCTCCTACAACCCTCTACAATCCAAGACCATGGTGACTTCGGGTTTTGATTTGAGCTAAACTACACAATATCAAGATGTAGATAAAGCACTATTTCATAGAAAATGTTAATACTTGGTGTTATACAATGAAACCCACCTACAACTATATTATCGCCTACCTTCTAGGATTAAAAAAGCTTTTATAGTGACAGAAATGCTACACATTTCTTCCTATCTCTAAGGTATATTCAATAGGCTTGAAAATCTGTGTCAAGAGTAAAACTTCATTCAGATGTGATCAAATCTTAACTAGAAAGCATATGACCAAGACAAACTTTTTCTTAATAATTTTTTATTTTTACTTGAAACAGATTCATTTAAAACTCTTCATTTATTAAATATATAATCAAACACATTTATATATATACATATGTAACTATCTCCTTGACATTTATTAAATGCGAGGTCTTCTATATCTACATACACATAAATGACTTAAGAAAGTGCTAATATAGAAGTATCATACAGTTATACATTTGTCTATAATGCAGTATCAATAAATATGTAGAGCTTCTATACTATTTACATATATACATAAATGACTTAAAAAAGTGCTCATATAGAAGTATCATACAGTTATACATTTGTCTATAATGTAGTATCAGTGCCTATAGGACTTAGGATATAAATTTAAACATTTACATTGGATATATGTTTAAGGTGGCTGTATGTATGTTATATATTAAGAAGTATTTCATAAAGATTAAGCATTCATAAGGATTAAGTACAGAAAGTTTTAGATTCTGACTAATTGTATTTGATAATGCTATAAGGCATTTTCACAAGAATTAAGTACATATAAAATATTAGATTATATTTGATTTTAAGTTGTTTATTAAAAACTATTTCACAGGAATTAATGGATTACCCACTTGCATTACTGTATCTGGCTTAAGAAGTATTTCTGAACTGGAAATACAGTTCAGTGCAAGAGTAGCTGCTAGGTTCACTCCCTAGTGTTACTACTACTATTAATGATAAAGAAAAGCAAACAAGCAAAAAAACCAACAAGAAAATGAAAACCAAAAATCTCTCTTCACTCTTATGCTGCTTTGGAGGTATATATACAGAGAAAACCTGAAAATTTAACCTGTAATGCAAGTAACTTCTGAGAAAATGAATTATCAGTTGATATGAGCTTTACAGTCTTGTCATTAGGAAAGTTTGAGTTGGCACACTTAGGAGTGAACAGAACACTCAGGAAAGAGCCACAGCCTTTTACTATGGTCACAGCAGTTCGGCTGGCCCTGAAGGACTAGATAGACTGCATTGGGTTCTGATCAAGGTCCTCTAACATGAGCCCTGCCTCAGTTTTACTAAGGTACAATGTTTTAAAAGTATCTAGATGATCTCTCATGATCCCTTCAATTCTGTTCCTACTTTTAAAAAAATTTTTCCTTATTCTTTATTTTTTTTCACAAATTATAAGAACAGTAACAAAAAAGTTTAGAGTCTATATTGTCTACTCTTCTGGACCAAGAATATTTTAGTTTGAATTATCATGAGCACAGCAAACACTTTCTGCTCGTAGCTTGGCACAGTCATTTTCATACTTGAGCGAATAACTATTTGTTTATGTGCTTTAAAAATAGGTCTGTTTCTACTGCAAAAGAAAAAAAATCAAGGTGGCGCTTTCATAATATCAAACTTGACAACAAGAGCTGAGACGGAAGCTAGAAGGTGAGAAGTGAGGGGAGGGCATCTTTTCTGTTTGCCCACTGTCAGAAGTCCCTCCAGACCCCTGCAGGGACACTAGTGTCATTTTGTAGTTGTCAGTACTGACTCATCTACTATAGCTCTGCTTTTACCTTTCACTTTTTAGAGTAGAACATCTGAATCAATTAACGCATTGGACAGTGAAAGGGGAAAACCACGGATGTAGCAGCTGAGCTGGCACCGACAGCTCGAGAGAGAATCCTGCACGGAAAAAGCCTTTTCGATGTCCAGGAGGCATGGACATCTGACACACTGTGAAGGGTTTCTCTTTGCTTTTTTACATAGCAGCACTGGTTTTCCCTTTCACTATCCATGGTCAGACTTTTATGTTTGGATCAATACAAATCAGTACAAGGGTTTCATTCTAATTTCACTGATTTTAGGGTTATTAGCCAATCACATCGAATCATACTGGATCTGTGCTTTATTTATTTTTTTACAGTGGTGTTTTTGCTTTAATTCTGTGCTCAAAAAGACACAGATGTGGCCCAGGGAAGGCACCGTGCCTCAGCATGAAGCTGCACAGAACTCTGGGAAGCCTTTGCACACTCTTCCAGCACAGTGGATAGCTCAGCCAGTACTACTAAATCTTCACAGCGGACTAGGAAGTCCAGCCCCAGCTCCTTTCAAAATAGAATAAACTTAGAATCAAGATAATGATTTATTTTTGTTGTCAAAAAGCGAAAGTTAAGAGTAAAGCCAAATCTACAGAGCCAATAGTGACAGCTTCTACTGGTCCAAATTCGTAAAGGGGAATTCTGGAGGTTCTCCTAAAATGGAAAGAAAAGAAAAGAATAGAAGACAGCATTATAGTTAAACACTTTGGTCAACTTTGAAAAAGCTACATCTAAGATTTTCTTAGAAATACAACTTCTATTTTCACCAATATGAAATACTTTTTGTTAACCTGAAAAAATTGCCCACTGTAATGGATTTTTTTCTGGATTTATATACTTTTAGTAGAAAAGTTTTGTTCAGGCCTATCAAAAACAAACAAACAAACAAAACAAAACAAAAAAACCCTTTGTTTTCAAGGCAGGTCTCATGTACCCCAGGCTGGTCTTAAACTCACTATGTAGCCAAGGATAACCTTGACCATCCAATCACTCTGCCCTTGTTTCCCAACTGCTGGGATTTCAGGCATGTGCTACCAGGTTAGGTGTGCTCTGGGACCCTGGTGCTGGGTTGGGACCGAGAGGGTAGGCAGGCACTCCCACTGAGCTCCATCCCACCTTTATGTCTTATCTTTGTTGACTTCTCCCTTGGGTTTTGAACATTATATACTAAAATCTGTACTGAAACAGTGAAGGAGAAAATGTATTTTAAGATTTTAGCAATGTGAAGTCACAACATATGAAGATGAAACAAAATTGCACAATAATATTCTCTTTAAATCCTGCATCCAAGTTTTTATAACAAAAACATTTCACAATAGATTATCTGCATCCCTCCAAAGCAAATCCTTGTTAACTTGATTAGTCTTGGTTGCTCAGTTACACCAAGTATTAATGAAACTTCAGGCCAAAATATATTCACCTCTATATAACATGTTATATAGGAGCTGCTTCCCCTTGACAGCCTACTTAAGAATCATTAGGTCCATCACTCAGGTTCACAACAATATATTTTACCAACATTTCAATGATCTGGATCAAGACTGATACATCCCTTTCCCTTTCTTAAGGGAGAGCCTTACAATGTAGCTAAGGCAGGCCTTGCATGTGTGACCCTCCCATGTGCTGGCTGTCCTCCTTATGTCTATTAACTATATTATCTAAGATTGTCAAATTTTTTGGTCATCCATTATTTATCCTTTAAGATGATGACTCTAATATGTTGACATGATACATTAGACCAAATTAAAGAATAAGCAAACTGGCTGAAACTTATGAAGAGATCACTTTACCAAGCTGTGATATAATGGAGAGCCATAGTAATTACAAATTATATAAGCAAACACAGGTGAACTGAGCTTGATTTAGTAGTTTTGACTTTTCAGAGTCTGATGTCAATAAATATTTCTCTTTTCAAAATGACTTGGTCATGAATAACAGTTGTACTGGACTATAATATAATTACACCACTATGTCTGACTGATTATAATAATATCCTCCCAGCCATAATGTACTGAAGCCATGTAGGGGAGGTCATGTCCTTTGTATAGGATGAGTTTGTCTACAAGGGAGGGGACAATCATCAAGCGAAAAGTCCTGAGAAAAGAAACTGGAACACAAAAGTGAGCCCCTCTGGGCTGCTTGGAGGTTAAGAGCTGTGCAAGGTGGTTTACAAAGGAGGGATGTCATTCAAACTACAACCCCAAGTCAATCATAAGATCAGTTTAATGATCTTCAAGTCAAATCTGAAACTACCACCTCCCATTTCCTAAAGATAAATACTGTTTTGTTGCTTCAGTTGATGTGAAACTGGATGGACTACCTTCCCTTGAGTAGTGCTCCAAATATTGGAAAGGCACCACTGTGGAGGACCCCATCTGATGGGAGATGCCATTCAGTAAATATTCTTCTCTTATTGGTTAATGAATAAAGCACTGCTGACCAATAGGAAAGCAAGATAGGAGGGACTAGGAGGCAAGGAGGTTTCGGGGAGAGGTAGTAGAGAGATTTAACATGTAGGACCCAGAGAGAAGAACTCCAGATCCTCTCTCCAGTAAGATAAGACCATGTGGCAATACTTAAGATTAATAGAAATGGGTTAATATTTAAGACAGAGCTAGCCAATAAGCTAGTAACTGGCCAACAGCATTATATCTAATATGTGTCTCCATGTGTTATTTGGGGCTGGTGCAGCTCTGGCACCAGGCGGTCAGGAAAACTGCTCAAAACGCTCTTCTGTCACTGACAGTACATTTTGAGTTAGTCTTCTCTGCTGACTACAAAAAGCCATGGCAGATTCTCCTCCTCTTGCTAGAGGGTTAAAGGCAGACATCTAAGTTACATGGTTGAGCTGAGGAAGACAGCTGTTCCTGTGGTACTGGAGTGACAGTGGGAACCACACTGCCGCCCCGGGAAAAGAAAACGAGGATGTGGGGGAATTAGTGCTGCACTATCTGTTTGAGTCTGCTCTCAGAGACTGCTGCTTCTACTGCCACCCACCAGGGCACCTTCCTTCCATTTTATAACAGGTCTAACGGCTGCATCTCCTCCTATTTCTTTAAACCACTACTCCAAAGAACTAAGGCATGGGAAACTGAGTAAAGATGATGGACAAACTACACTTATCTCTGCAAGACTCTCTACCAGGTGACTAAAGATGGATTTATCATCCAAGCTTTCACAAAAAAGACACTGGGAACATAGAGAAGCAATTAAATAATAGTTTATAACTTAATAATTTAACATGTTTGCACACCAACTTACACAGATTTTAAAAATACCCTCTTTTAATCAGAAATTATTTTTTATTCTTTGTTTACATGCAAACTATCAAAAACCCATTATTGATCAGTCCTTGGGTTGATTATAAGACAACCCTTGGAAGTGAAGTCTAAACTTACCTTATCTTCATACATCCTCTTGGCTTCCCTCAGTTCAGAACGAAGCTGAGAAACGGTAGACTCCAAGTCACTGAGCTGGCGCATATACATGGAGTTCTGGTTCCTTGCTTGTTCTCTAAGAAGGGTTGCAAAGGGTATAAAGCAAATAGCAAACTAAGAATACATATGCATGATACCTCAAGGGCCCCTCACATCCCTTAGATATTATCAGTAATTACTTTATGTGGTATCATTAGAGCAACTGTCTTTCATTATGCAAACTTGCTTCTTCAGAGTTTTAGCTCAGGGTTGGGGACAAAGCTTAGAGGTATAAGGTATGTGTACTATATGTAAAGTTCTGCTCAATTCCTAGCACCAAAACAAATGTTACTTGCCAAAGCTGGTGGCACATATACATATATGTAAGTATACATATATATATGTAGATGTACATATATATATGTATATGTATGTATTCATTACACTAGTCTCTACTTTTGCATATGATTAAAAATGTCTGTACTGAGCTGGGTGTTGGTGGCGCACGCCGTTAGTCCAGCACTTGGGAGGCAGAGACAGGTGAATTTCTATGAGTTTTAGGCCAGCCTGGTCTAAGCAAGTTCCAGGACAGGCTCCAAAGCAATACAGAAAAATCCTGTCTCAAAAAAACAAAAAACGTGGCTGGAGAGATGGCTCAGTGGTTAAGAACACTGCCTGCTCTTCCAGAGGTCCTGAGTTCAATTCCCAGCAACCACATGGTGGGTCACAACCATCTGTAATGAGATCTAGTGCCCTCTTCTGGCCTGCAGGGAAACATGTAGACAGAACACTGTATATAATAAATAAATATTTAAAAACAAAAAACAAAACAAAAAAATGAAGTCTGTGCTGGGGGTGGGAGAGATGGCTCATTGGTTATGAGTGTTTGCTCTATAACCATGAGAACCAGTTATGGTCCCAGTACCTACATAACAAGCTGGACATTCTGAAAATGCCTAGTAAACTACAGCTCCAAATAATCTGACACCCTCTTCTGGTCCCCACATGCACACAGGTGCCTGTACCTACACACAAAGGTTACATAATATAAACACAACAAACCTCTAAAAGTAAATGTCTACACATAGTCTTATGCATCAGTTCAAATTATAAAATTTCATATGATATGTGCCTTGGTATAACACATATGTATATGTGTTCACATATATAGTCATATAGATATACATGTAATTATTTATATATATTTATAATATACATGTGGTATATGTTCTTTGTCTATCATTTGAATGGACAACTCATTAAATCCAGGGGCCTGAATACTTGCAATAATACTTTGTGTGACACACACAAAAAAAATTACTGTTACCTTTTCTGTTCAAGTGTTGTAAAAGTTTTATCACTTTCTCATGGAATCAATTACTAAGCAATTTAAAAAAGACACTAGGACAGCATATTAGTTAAAATAATAGTTTTCTAAATGATCGTCTTATATGTATGAGTTTTGCCAGCATGTATGTATGTGCACCACAAGCATGCCTTGTACCCACAGTGGAAGACACAAATTCTCATGCATTCAGATAAGCACTGGAGAAAACAGGAAGTTACACTGCAGGTTTGAATCTTCAAAGGTGTTTGCCTGTTCTCTGGGGATGCTGGGAAAGAATGTAGTTTACATCCTGGTAATCCTTTGCTGTCTGGTGAGCCAGGCCCCACCTGTACCCCTCAGAATTTGTTTTTACCCCAGACCATTCTCCCCCCCACTCCCCCCCCTGATCTTGAGCATTGTTTCTAGGCCTTAAAACACATCCTTGTGAGAGATGTCACATATTTTACAACAGCATGAGTAACTTCTATGTTATCTTATGACCAGGCCAATTTTGACACTAGATTTGCCTAAGTCAAGCTCCCCTAGACTCTAAATCTTGGCCATAATCTCTGAGTTAAGAGTATCCATTCTTGTAAAAGAAACAAGGTTTACTTTATAAGAGTATCAATGTAAACATGTCTTAACCTCTACTATACTCATGGGACTGAGTTAACAGCTATCAGAAAACTTTTTTTCCAAAACTGTGCCATGCTTAAATATGGCTAAAATGAACCAATTGGTGTCAGACTCTGGAAGTCTGGCTCAGCATCGGCTACCTAAGACAGGCTGAGCTCAGTTTCATTCTTCCCTCACCTAGATCATTTTCCTACTGGCCATAAAGCCTGCAGGGGCCTCTACCCCCATGTACACAAGAACCAGAATCATGAATATCAGCAGTGAGCTGCCATGCAGGTACTGGGACTCAAACCCAGGTCTCCAGAGCTAAGTGATAGTTCTTAGGACATCATTTGAAAGCATTAGCATGCACATACTGGATGATTTCCAGCTGACTCTGGATGCTATTGGCTTGGCTCCGGGCACTGCTGGCTTTCTCTGTAAGTCCTGTTATTTCAATTTCATGCTCACTTATCAGCTGCTCAATTCTACAGAAAGAACACAACGATTGTTATAATACAGGAGATTCTTACCCGTGATTTTTCTCAAAAAATCAACGCTTTCCAACACCTTCAAACTTAGCATTTTGTTTCCAGTTTTACACATCCTACTCTTTCATGTGTTTGTTTGAGACAGACTTTAATTATGTAGTCTTGGCTGTTTGAATTTATAGGCAATCTTCCTGCCTCTGCCTCCTAAGAGCTGGGATTGCAGACGTGAGCCACCATGCCTGGCTTTGTAAATGTTACGCCTCCCCACCCCTCTTTCTTACTTTCTTTTTCTTTTTTTTTCTAATTGTTTCTTTTTGAGACTGGATCTCTTTTATTATGTAGCTCTGATGTTCTAGAACTTGCTATGTAGAACAGGCCATCCTCAAAGTCACAGAGATCCACTTGCCTCTGTCTCCTGAGTGCTGGGACTAACAGCATGCACCACCACACCTGGCAATGCTGCTCTTTTAATAGCAACTCTAGAAGCCTTTACTTACAACCAACTAAGTTTTCAGAATTCAGAATCTAAGTTTCAGTGTCAAACCATGAGAACCAAGCAAGGCATGGTATCTCTGGTCCTGTACTTGAGAAAGTGAAGCAGGAAGATTTTTGGAATACAGGCCAGGTGGCGCAACAATGGGACCCTGTTCTCAAAGAAAACAAACACCTTTGAGTATTATGAATAGTATATGTTACATAATGTACCATATGTCATATGCTTTCTCCAGGGAGACATAGGGAAGGGTCCTATCAACAAAACACATTATGATACAAGTTTACAAATATTTACACTGTCACAGACTATTAAATTATTTATATCAGCTAATCTAATCAATAGATCTATGACAGATCACTCTTAGGACAACTAAGGCTGTTCTTTCCACCTAGGCCTTGACCTTGACCACTCTGGTTGGTGTTTGACCAAGGCCAACCACAGCAAGAATATTCTCATTCTTACTATCTGATCAGTCCTTGACAACTGATCAAGTTGCTATCCTTCAGCTTAAAAGTCTATATCCACGGCTACCTTTAGTAAGAATCTTCAACCCTTATGTGAACAATGTTCCACCCACCAGTCCCTCACCTTCCTTGATTAGAAATCTCCGCTTGTCCTTACTGTGTTGAAGATGAACTTATTTTCTTTCCCTGTAGCAAAACTTACAGGGCTATATATTTATGTAGTCTTGAATGAAGCCTTCCTTACAGCTTCAATAGGTTTCAGAAAAATTAATGTAAGTTTGCTATGGGTAGGTAAGGAAATTTTTTTGTTGTTGTTGTCTGAGAGTCTGTAGACTTTGGAACTGTAGGTGAGAGAGACTATAACTGGAATATAGTTCACTGTGATTTTCTATGCCTCGGCCAGACACCTACCGATCTTGATGTTGTTGAAGTAATAATTCTATTTTGTTCTGTGATTCAGTTTTCAGTGTTTCAAGTTGGTCCTCTACCTGGTTTTAAAATAGAGATGTTAAGTTGGGTGCTGGTAATTCTAAAGCCTAGAAAATGCAGAGTTTCTACGAAAGGGAGGCTTTAGAGACATAAAAATAGAAATAATACTACAACAAACTCTATGCCTGTATTTTACAACACATGCTCTGGCTATACTTACATCGCACTATAGGCAAATTGTCAACAGAGAACATGATGTTCATCTCAGAGAACAAAAAAATGAGAACCTGGCTTATTTTTCAAGGATTTTACAAGCTATCTCTCAATGCATTGTAATATAAAGTAGTGTTCTCACCACTTACTGGAAATATCCTCCCTTTAAGATAAGAGATTTCTGTGTCTAATTCTCTTAGGATTTTACTAATAGCTGAGCCCAGGCTGCGGAAGTGCATGGTAGACATGCTGTCGTGTTCACATATTTTCTTGCCTGAGGCTTCTTCAAAGTCAACTAAGACTGATCGGATTTCTTGAAGCACACCTTCATGGCTAAGCATCATTTTTCTTAGCTGCTCTATCTGTGCACTGCTGTCTTTCAACATGTCCTCCTTTAGGCACTTGGCAGCTTCAAGCTCATGAACTGTATTTTGAAGCTGATTTCGTAAATCCTCCTGGGACTGACTCTCCCTTCGTCTACGAAACAATGAAAGAAAATAAATAATATTGATTAAAAGTCATTTTCACTCAATTTTAATATATATACATGGAATTTTGCTATATATCCCAGACTGGCTTTGAATTCAATTATGTAGCCCAGGCTGACCTTAAACTCAAAGCAATCTTCTTATCTCAGCACCCAAGTACTATGACTATATCCAACATTAAGAATAAAACCATGAAGTAGTTTCTAGCGGAACACTGGCCTAACATGCCCAGACCCTGGGTCCAGTCTCTAGCACTGCTGGAGGAGAAAGTCAGGTAAGAAATCCCAACCTGATGTCGGCCATGGCATCTCTCTCCATTTGCATTTCTTGAAGTTTTGTCTGCAAATCGATGACTGACTGTCTTAAGTAAAACTTTTGTTTCTCATGCAATTCATTGCTCTGAAAAAAAAAAAAACTCACAAATTAATCTATATCTATATTAAACCATCAAAACATAGTGCCTATAGAAGACAATAATTTCCCAAGGGTTATGCATTATTTATTGTTATGTATACAAAAGCCCCCTCACCACTGAAGTTCAGAGCCCAGTGAATAATTTCTCACCTAGGTAACTAGAAGACATCAGCAAGGTTCCCTGGCTTGGCCTTTTCTTGTCCATTTTCTGAAACAAATATTCCAGCTCAAAGCAAAAATAGGAAAATGCTTTGTCCCTTAAAATTGGAAAACTGGTTGAAATGATATATACAGAAAAATCAAATTTTTGCGTTCAATCTACTTAAATTCTTGGCAACAGCCACTGTCATCTAAAAGCTATAAAGGGAGGTGGTGGTGCTGGAGAGATGGCTCTGTGGTTAGGAGCACTGGCTGCTCTTGCAGAGGACCATGGTTTGATTCCCAGCACCCACATGGCAGCTCACAACCATCTTTAACTTCAGTTCCAGGGAATCTGATGCCTTCTTTTGGCCTCTGTGAGTCCTGCATGCACATGGTACACATATATATGCAGGCAAAACACACATATAAAATTAAAGTACTTTCTAATATAAAAATAAAGCTGTGAAGGTGCTCAACTACAGAAAAATGCAGAGATTGCCAAAGCCAAGCACTGAAGCATCCCCTGACTAACAGCTGATGACCAGTGTAGGATGAAGAGCTGTTTAATCTGCCTCATTTTTGAGTCTGAACAGAAAACAAAAACCACTGAAAATGACAAGGTTCTGAAATACAAAAATAGAGACTAAAATTAAGCAAACAGGAAAACCAGAAAAAGATCCAGATGAAACAAAGATAATGTAGAGATTTCACCCTAACCCTAACCTTAACTCTGTGCTTGCAGAGATTCTAGTATCATACACAAAGATAACAACCATACAGAATAGGAAGCTGGGCAGTGGTGGCATACCCTTTTAATCCCAGCACTCAGAAGGCAGAGGGAGGTGATCTCTGAGTTTGACAACAGCCTGGTCTACAGAGTGAGTTTCAGCCAGGGCTACACAGAGAAACCCTTTCTTGAAAAACCTTTTAAAAACAAATAAGCAAACAAACAAAACAGAAACAAGAATAGGATGCTAAGGCTGGCCACAGTGGCACATGTCTAAATTCCCAAAGGCTGGGAAGCTAAGGCGAGGGAAGGCCAAGTTTAAGGCCAGCCTGCGCTACAGTGAGACCCTGTTTAAGACAGAATAAAGAACGGAGGGCACAAAGATGAAGGAAGGGAGGGGGAAGGGGATGAAGGAGATGGGGGCTGGTAAAGGGCAAGGAGAGGAAGAAGGGAGGAAGCAGAAGCAGCTGGCAGCAGAGTCCTTGCTTGGTGTGCATGAGGCCAATGGTTCCTAACCTGTGGGTCATGACCCCCTAGGGGGAGTCAAATGACCCTGACACAGGGGTCACCTAAGACCATTGGTAAACATAGATATTATGATTCATAACAGTAGCAAAATTAGTTATGAGTAGCAATGAAAATAGTTTTATGGTTAGGGGTCACCACAACATGAGGAACTGTATTAATGGGTTACAGCATTTGGAAGGTTGAGAACCGCTGCCCTAGGCTGATGCCTACCACAATCAGAGGCTGCATAAGCTGCAAAATCAAATCAGAAAAGGAACGTCAAGTGTCATGTGGCTTCAGCATCACCATTTAACCCACCTGCAGCACAACTCCCACAATATGACTTCCTACTGTAAATGTCTCAATCACAGGACTGCAAGGAAGGGACCGTGTCTTTTCCATCTTTATATATCTGGTACCTAGCACATTTCTGTTACATAGGAATACAATAACAGCACCATTTAATAAATATTAGAAGTATTTCACAAGTGTTTACGGGGAACCAACCAAGTGTGACATACTCTATCAGGAGGTGATAGGAATAAATTAGACATAGAAAATAGTGTGCTCACTCTCTCTTCCTCTCTCTCTCATGTGGGAGGACATTTCTAGGAAGTCCATTCTCTCCTGACAACTTGTAGGATCCAGAGATTGAACTCAAGTTGTTAGGCTTGTGCGTTACCACCTCTACCCACTGAGCCATCTTGCCAGCCCAGTTAGTGGTTTTTTTCTCTACTACTATGTCTGTGCTCCCTCTGTCTTAGTGGTATATTTATCACAAGGTCTCATAATTACTTGTTTATATGACTAGCCCATCTCCAAAACTATGGATTCCTTTGAGAGCAATGACATATTTATCTTTGTATGCCATGTGTATAATGCAATGACATAATTTTTACATTTAATAAAATTGTAAGTTCATCTCCTAAAGTCTTTATCTAGTCTGATGAGGCAGAATAACATACTGATGGATATAGTAAGATGCACAAAATGTGCACAAACAATACTTGCACAGGGACACCCTCAGTGCTGTCCAGAAGGAAGGCTTCAGAGAAAAGAACCTTTAAAGAGAGCCCTGAAAGACTGTAAGTCTTCCAGCAGTCAACAGACACGGAAATCTAGATTAACAAGGTCCACCCAAGATGAGCAAATGGCTTAGTACTGCTGAACAGAGGTTACCTACAGAGAATGGGTACCAGACAAGGATAGCATAAAACTTTAGTACATGGTGGTAAAAAGTCTGGATTTTAGAAAGTAAACTACTAGGAACTCAATACCTAGTTTGATTCTCTATGAGGTCCACTTGACATTTTAGCAAGCCCTTCCAAATTCTATTTAACCATTCTATTTAACCATATATATGTATACATACAGAATGGTTAAATTGTATATATATATTCATTTCTACTTAAAAGAAGCCAGGTATCATAATAGTAGGACAGCAGGCCAAAACCAATTATTAATAATATATGAATGACATTAATTATAACATTTTAAAGCATTCAAATTTTATTAAAATTATATCATGAACCAAGACATTATTAATACCAGAAAGAAAATGGTATGTAAATGTCTCATTAGCCCAACAGAAAGGAGAGGTTTAGTTGATAGACCCATGGCTAATGTTTTCTTTCTGGGGGATTAAGTTTTATTTCAAGACAACATGTCTCCTTGGCCTAATGGTGCCAGATGCTAGAAAAGAACGCAACTCACTTCGTTTAGTCTTTTCTGCAAATCTTTAACTTGATGTGAATATTCTTCCAAAACACGTTCAATGTGCTCTTTCCCAGGGTAAGGGATGACTTTTCTATGAGAATCAAGTTCCACTTCATATTTAGGGAAAAAAGGCATTTGTGTTAAAGTCCCAGTTGAAGATGGGTTTTCAATTATTGTACCACGAATAGATGACACAAAAAACGGGCTTGAAGAACCTAAACAGTAGAGAATTCATTAATTATTCATAAAACAACTTTGTGGTAAATACTATTGTAGAAGGTGCCTTTAACAAACCCTGAAGGAGTACAAGGTCTCATGGGAAAAACAGGTAAGTGAAGTACAGCTCAGAGCACCTTGAAGGACAAGACACAAAGGAGGGACAGGCTGGGGACACGGGTAATCACGTGACCCTGGAAGTGGAAAGCCTTGAACTATGTACGAGTGATGCCAGTCTGGAGAAGACAAGGGGACATTCAAGAGTGGAAGCACTGTATTAAAGGCCAGTGGGCTAGAGGCAGCTGGGATGTTCTGGGAGAAGAAAAAAGTCGCTGCCACATATGAAGATGAGAATACAGATCATGAAGGGCTTTGCAGTCATGCCAAGGAGTTTGAATCTCACCCGGTATGGTATAGATTTGAACCTAGAAAGAGATCTGGCCACAGGAAATAGTTCTCAGTGGCATCAGGACCCTGCTGAGATAGGAGACCTAGATTGTGGCAGCCTGGTGAGAGATTCATAGCAAAAATCTTCCAGCAGCCCAGCCCCCAAATGGAGGTATTAGCTAGACTGATGAGCATTTGCTGTTCCAGTGAGAATGCAAATAATAAAAGAGGGGGCACTGACACTGATTGGCTGGGTATGCACACAAAAGAGCAGTATTATAGGAGTAAATATCAGAATCTGTAATAGCTGTTGTCAATCTTTGCAGTATACCAGAATCACTTGAAAAACATTAAAGTAATAATACAGTTGCCTAAGCCCTGCTCTGAACCTACTGAATCAGAATTTGCAAGTGTGAATCTAAGACATTTAAATGTTTATAACTGAAAAGGCTGGGTGAGGTGGAGAGGTGTTGACATGGATCATGGCTGACAGGCACTGCTTTCAGTAGGCAGATAAACAGGAGTTCCATAGTAACACAGGGGAGGCTGAAGTAAGAGACAGTTACAGAAATGCAACACATGCTAGTAAGATGTGTGAACAGGTAGCCTGGGCTGCAGCGATGACTCAAAGTTAATTGCACTTGTTGCTCTTGCAGAGGACCCAGGTTTGATTCCCAGGAACCAGATGGTGGCTGATAGCCCACCTGTGACTCCAGATCCAGGGATCTGATGCCCTCTTCTGACCTCAGAGGGCACCAAGCATACACATGGAACACAAACATACCTATAGGTGAAACACTCATACACATAAAGTAAAGTAAATCTTAAAAACTAACTAAAGAAACCAAAACTTTAGAGGTCAAGAAGTTGTGCACCTAGGATCCTGATGAGCCACCCATGAGGTCAGTACTAAGAAGAAAGATGAGACATTCATAACCAAGTTCTGTGCCTTGCAGTTAAAACAAGGCACATTCTAAACTAGGAACTGAGATGGTTATTACGAAGCCAGTTTCATTCTAATTTTCCCTCATTTTGTTTTAGAAAATACATACCTCCATTGGGTGTGATGCCACTTGATAAAAGATCTTCATTATTTGACTCACAAGTTTTTGATTCCATAGTAACTATTTTCTACCTCGTCTTAGAGATCTTGCAATAGGAGTGCTTTCCTGTTTGGATCCTTCAGTTCTTGTCTGTGAGAGATAAAGTATTCAAGTTTATAACAGTGTTGTATGGAAAAGTTCACAGACTGACTTCTAATGCTTTTGAAATTTTTCCTCTAAAAAATAGCTATGTATACAGAAGAATTTTATTACTACATAAAACTAATATGTTAAAAGTCAAATTTCATTATAAAAAATTTGATTTTAAGACCAAAGGGGTTTTGTTTGTTCTGTCTGAGCAGGGTCATCCAGACAAAACAAGGTATTCTTGGCTGGCTTGGAACTCACTCTGTACACCAGGCTGGCCTTGAATCACAGAGGACCAGTCTGCTTTGCCTCATTAGCGCTGGGATTAAAGGTGTGCTCCACCATGCCAGCCTCCAAAGGGCTACTAAAGATCAACTAAAATCTAATAATCTGATTGGGGCAGTTATGCTTTCAAGTTGCTTATAAAATTATGTTGCTAAATCATAGAACTTATCTCCCTTCCAAGGATCTCAAATCAGCAAATTAGATCTCATTACTAAAAGCCAAAAGCCTTACGTAATGTTAAATATTGTTTATATTTTATATATGGTCAGGAGGGTGCTTCTAAGTTTGGAAAATGGTGGTAGTGACCTAATTCCAAATTTCTCTTTATTTTCACTCAAACAAGCATAAAATCAAGGTGGTAAACCAACAAAATTATGTGTATTCCACACTCAGTACCCTAAAGACAGAATACCTTCAAATGTATGCAAATAGAGGATTCTCCCTCCCAAGGTAGTCCCCACCATCCCGCTGGGAACTGAGAAGCTGGAGAGATACACCCTGGACTAGACTTTCAGAGTCAGGGCCCTGAGTATGGGCTAGCAGCCTCAGAGCAGCAGTGTGAGAATTGTTTCAAAAGAGACTTTCCCTGGAGACAATGTGCAAAAGGGAAGAGATGTTGGAAGAGGTCCCAGTAGGAACAGAATAGAAATAGGGTATTCAACCCACCCTCTGTACCACATGGAAAGATGGCACAGGTAAGGTCACCCAGGAGCCCTGTTCTGAAATGAACAGAATGAACAAAAGAAGACATCTTCACACAGAACAAATGCAAAATGTCAGATAACCTTCTAAATCTGCTTTTTAATGTTAGCTAATGGCTCTACGAACTTCACTCCTAAGTTACACGTGTTAGTATCTTCAGCTACCCTTTGTCTAAACACATCTAACTGACCACTGTATTTTGCTGACTTAAATGGCATTTCTTCTTTCCCTTAAAAGCAGTGCCATTTTGCCAATCTTGCTCCACGGGCATCAGCAAAAACCCTTTTTCCATCTGGTTTAAGCCCTCCTTTCCCATCAGATACTGCTCTACAGCAAGTCCCCTTTGCTGTACCCTAAGTATTTGCTCGTTGCGATCTGTTATTTGCATTGCCCTTTTCATTCTTCCTTTCTTTCCTTTCAGTTTAGAGGATACAGAGAAAGAGATTCAATACCTTATTTCTGCCAATGTACACTGACCCCACGATCTTGAAACTGATGTACTAAAAAGACAAAAGATATGCCCCGAGTAAACAATTTAATTGAGCAACTATATTGGAAATACAAATGCTGTTTATCTTCTCTTCCCATACCAAAACTAGTAACAGGAACAACACCTAGGGCAGCTGGAGTGGGGACTTCTGCCGGGGTTGTGGGAAAGGACAGATGTTGCTGGCGCGGAAAAGCTGGGACCTGCAGTGGATTACCAAGGGGCTCAAGTCACACAGCGTGTGTCAGTGCCATGTGGGATGAAAGACTGGTGACAGTCCGAGGTCCCACTCCTGTCTGTCCCCACATTTTCTCATCTCTTCCAGTGGTCCCAGGAAGACCCGCAGAAACAGAAGTGAACAGTCCTTTGGGCCCAAGGATCTCTGCACCGACCCCCGTAGTCACAAAGACCCAGTTTTCCTGGCACTGTCCCTGGAGAACTTGAACGCTCCTAAAACAGCTGTACAAAGTTACTGGGCCGGTACCACGTGGGAACACAAAGCCACGGAAGGTTCCAGAAGTAACAGGAGTTGATCTAGGTCCTCGGGAGAACAACCCAGCCCTGACCCTTAGGACGCATCCCGCCCTCATACCTGCTACCTACACCTCGTCCTAAGAGACCGGCCGCATGTCCGTGGGGGCGGCGGCCGCACCTGCGCGACCCCGGGACCCGCCGGCTCCCACTGTGCCCCGAGGCCGCGGCCCGCGCAGCTGCCCCTCCTCGGCGCACGACCCTCCACCTCGCGTCCCGGCGCCGCTCGCTCCGGCCGCCAGCTGCTGCTGCGCGAGCCAGGTCTGACGGTTGGTGGCGGGGAAGCCATAGAGAGAGAAAGGGCGGGGCGGACGAGGAGGGGCGGGGAGGATGAGGCACGAGAGGGGCGAGGCCTGAGGAGGAGGACGGGGCGGGGCGTAAGAAGCACGAGAAAGGGGCGGGGCGTGAGGAAGGGGCGGGGCGGGCGGCATGCGACTCCACGCCTCCCCCTGACTCCGGCGCGCTCCCCAGCCTCCACGCCGTCGCCCAGGCAACCTGGAGGGTCTGTCCGGACACTTTTCTTCACTTTTCCTCCTGCCTTGCAGCCCTGCTCCTCGCCTCACTCTCGTTGAGGCCCCACAAAGACCCTCCCAGGTACCGGCCAGCACAAATCCTCCCTGGGACTGCACCGAGCAAGGGCGCACCCTTGCAGTCCTGTTCCCCGGTCCCCTCTGTTCAAGCTAACAGAGTAACTCGCATTTTGCAGCCCGCCTGTGCTTAGCCTCCTTCCGGAATGTTTTTCCAGGTTTAGACTGTTTTCGGGGTGGCTGACCCTTCTGACTCCGGAGAGCTGTTTTCTCCACCGTGCTTCGGTTACTCTGTGGTTAACTCTAACGGGGAATTTAGCACCTTGAGATTGCACACTTCTGCGTGCTGTTCAAATTAACATTCCAACGGAAGGGTTCCAGAGAGGCGGGAGTCTGATAGCTACCACCTGGAGGGATTTTTGTGGACGTTTTGAGGATAGAAACTATATAGCTCAAGCTGGCCCCAAACTTGGGATCCTTCTGTCTTAGACTATGCTGTTACAGGCGTGCGCTGGCCAACTCTGGCTTTGTGATGTTGAATTCTGTTAACTATCAACGTTAAGCAGACTGCAGCAACAAATATATAATGTATAAATTGACTATTAATATCAATGAACACCGCCTTTGTAATGCAGTTATGAAGTATAATACTTCACGAATTAAAGACTTTTTTAAAAAATTGTATCTTCAGTGTTTCCTATATGTTCTCAAAGACCTATAAAATTAAAGTATCAAGCACATAAACAGGAAATTAAACCATAATATTTCTAATCTCTATGACGAGACAGAAAACAATTTCCAGTTAGTTTCTTTTTAATCTTTTTATTTCTATCAAAACACAAGTGTGTTTTTATGGCATAAAATATTTTAATTGCCTAATACACGATTTTTATTGGTGACTCATTTTTGCTTGTATCCCAAATAAAGTGGGTTTTTCCCCCCTTCTCTTTTTGAAGTCTTGATCAGGTTATTTGAAGCGGGAAGACTCACCCTAAATGTGGGATCCAGCCCAGTTAGAAGTGCGAGGGAAAATTTTTATGAAGGTGAGTTTGTTGTTGCCATCCATCCTTTGCTGCCACTACAACCCAGTTTCTTCAACCTTCCCACAAAGACCAGGGACTCCCAGACCTCCTGTGCCAGACTGGGATTGCTAAGACACCCAGCCTCATGCACTGTGTATTTATCTCTTTTCTCCCTCAGTAGTCATAGGAACCAAATCCTAGTCCTCAAGCATGCTAGGGAAATGCTGGACCACTGATAAACATCCCAGCCCCAATAGTGTTATCTTTTTTTATAGTACTTTAAAAATACTATTATAAATAGCTGTGTTGTGTTAAAGTATACATATAATGATCATTTTAAAACCTCTTTAAAGTTACATTTCTTTATTTGTTTTGTGGGGCATTTTAAGTATTTAAGTGGCATTATTTTCTTTGGCTTTTATTGTTTTATTTTTAAATATATTGTTATATGCAACCTTCATCGATATCCATCTCCAAAGCTTTGTTTTGACCATTCCCAAAAGATGACTGTGGTGGGATCATTTCATGACAGGCTTGACTAGTTCATGAAGTCCATGCTGTTTTCATTTTCACTGGACCCCTTATGTGGAAGTATTCATAAAGCTCTGTACTTCAGGGGAGTACATTAGCATTAAGATCCTATTGATGTAAACTAACCACTGTGCCTTAGTGGCTCTTCCAAGTGTCTTCTTCCAGAGCAATGTGTAAGCTACATCCTGGCCTTTGGAGTCAAGGAGATGTCAGCTCCCTAAATTGTAATCTTAAGAAGAGCCATGAAGAGATGACTCTTTTTGTCTCTGAAATATTGCCTAGAGAAATATACAAACTTTAAAATAAAGTGGTTTTGTTTGTTTTTGATTGTTCAGAGAGAGCCTAAGACTAAATCTTTTCAGTATGTATATGTATTTCAAATCTTGTCTGCAATGACTTTAATAATTAGTGACCCTGAAGTGCCACTAGATGTCACCCTGGCTTCATATTTCAGACACGTTCTGGCACAGTTAAAAACAGCACAAACAAAAACCCAATACTTTGAAAATGAGTTAGAAGCAGTCTTTAGTCCCAGCATTTAGGAGGCAGAAGCTACTAGGTATCTGTGAATTTGAGGCCACACTGGTCTACATATGGCTTGCCAGACCAGCCAGGGCTATATAGTGAGATCGTGTTTCCATAAAACAGAAAAGAATGAAAAGCACATTAGAAACATGAGAAAAGTAGGGGCTGTAGCTTGATGGCAGAGCTTTTGTTTAGCATGTGCAAGGTCCTTGGTTGGATCACAAATACACACACACACACACACACCATTCCTTTAAAAAAAAAGACAGAAATGAAAGAAAATGTTAATAAAAACAGAAAAATAGTAAAGGATACTATGTAAAATTAAATCAATAAATGAAAACTTCACAAAGAACAAATTGTTTTCCTTTACACAATGTTAACAAATAGATATGTCGTTTCCAGGATGTCACAACCATGACTAGGCAAATAGCATTTGAAAGAGTTGAGTGTGGGAATGATAGGTGGTGAGCAAGGTGTTGTGATTTTGTTTCTCGTCTAAGGACACAGTATGAGATTTGTAAAAAAGAACTTGATTAGAAACAGAATTTGTCAAATATACATTGAAAGCACAGTTGCCGCCTGATTAGATAGATGTGTCTGCTACAAAGGGACTTTTTATTGCTAGAGTAGAGGCAATTCTAAATTAGAGGCAGAGAGAGCGGGTCCAGTAGATGAGAAAGAAAGGAAATGGTGAAGCTTTTTTGTTTCTGAGACCTTTCTTACAAACCAGGAAGAAGCTGCTTGGGTTCCTTTGTGTATAGCAGAGACCCAATTGTGGATGGTTTGCCAGGGACCGTATTTGCGGGGTGAGAGTGATATTTAAGGGTCTTGACTTCAAGCCTGATGGACAATCTGAGTTTGATCCCTGGGACGCTCCCACAAGTTGCCTGTCCTCTGACCTCCACAGGCACACCATGACTGCCAGGTCAAGTTAACTCTGCAGCAAGATGACTATGGAAAGACCTTGTGAAACCCAGAGGGAAAAGCTACACTATATCATGTGTGTGTCCTTGGGGTGCACATATCATGTTGCTTGTGTGGAGGTCAAAGGTCAACATTAAGTGTCACCGCTTGCCTACTACCTTGTTTGAGATGGGGTCTCTGGCCACTGTTTCACACAATTGGCTAGTTGTGGGGGCGGGGAGGAGGGTAGGGGTGCTGGAGACATGGCTCAGCAGTTAAGAGCACTGGCTAATCTTCCAGATGACCTGAGTTCAATCCCAGCACCCACATGGTGGCTCACAGCTGTCTGTAACTCCAGTTCCAGGGAATCTCGTGCCCTCACACAGACACACATGAAGGCAAAACAATTGTCTGGTAGGCCTGTGACTTTCCTAGCTGACTTCTAAGCTTCTGTGTGCTTGGACACTGTCTTTGGTGTTCCCGTAGGAGAACAGGGGTTACAGACTCATGGACCGCTACAGCTGGCTTTTACACAGGTTCTGGGGATTTGAACTCACTTGCATAGCGGTCCTTAACGTATTGAGCAATCACCCACCCTACTATTTTTCATTTACTTTTGAGACACAATATTGCTATATTACTAAGGCTGAACTGTATTAGAACTCAGGATTCTTCAGCTTCAGCCTCTAGAGTAGGTGGGTCTACAGGCACTCACCATGCCCAGTCTCCTTTTCATTAAGCTTTTCCTTTTTATTACAAATTAGACTGCCAAAGGATATATCAATGTTTTAAAAATAGCCTAAATTGCCCTTGAGGACTTCCCACTTTCGTCTGTCATACCTATGTTTCCATTAGAATGCTACCATTATATAAAACATGATATGTATGGTGGAGCTATTACTGCAAATATAGCAACACATGCCCTGTGCTAGTCATTAAATGTTAGTCTTTTGAGAGTTAAGGGGTAGTAGGGTCTCACATGCCCAGGCCGGCCTGAGCTCTATGCACCTATGGAAGACTTTTACCTTTGGATGTGGCCGATGCTGTGCTACCTAGGGCTTCCCATATGCTAAGCAAGAACCCTACCAACTGAGCTACCCCAACCCAGCCTCAGCACCACAGTCATTTTAGCTTATGTATCTATTTATTGTGTGCATATGCATGTGTGTGTGTGTGATGGCTGTGTGTGTGTGTGAGAGAGAGAGAGAGAGAGTTTGGGTACACCTATGCTACGGTGTGTATGTGGAGGTCAGAAAATAACTTTCAAGACTCGATTCTGGCTTTCCACATCCCTGAGGTGGACTCTTCCACTGCCATTGTGTCTGGGGCTGTGTTGTATTCTGCAGGCTATCTGGACCTTAAACTTGCAGGCCATTTCCCTACTTTTCCCCCCAGCTTGATATAGCTATGCTGGTTTTGCAGATGGGAACCACTGCATCTGGCTTTGTACTCGGGCTCCAGGAAGGGGCAGTTAGGCTTACACACCCTGTGTGCTTTACCTAGCAAGCCATTTAGCTGACTCATTATTACACTATTCCTATAACATCTCGGTCTTATTTGTTTCTCAGTATCTACTTTTCATTATGTGTAAGTAAAAACACCAAAATCACATTGTTATCACAACTTCAGTTTCCAAAAATAAAATCCATCTTATCACAAATTTCAATAGGAAAACGTTGGGTAAACATATTCTTTGAAAAGAATTCTAATTTGTTCCAATAAATTTAGAGCAGAGGATTCTGGACAAGATAAATTAGCTATCATAATACTGCTCATACTCTGAGTAGAAAATA